GCCTAAGGGAAACCAGATTTCTTAACCTGTGATAAATTATAGTTTTACTTCCTGGTTTGAATTACTTTCCTGGAAGCTTATTGCTGAACCTCAAACCCAGGTGTTGACGGTTCTGTATGCTTTCTGAAGGATTCTCTTGTGCCCTATATTTGAGATTTCCTTCCTTCTTTAAGGCCTGGGGTTTGAAGATTATGTACAAAATATTTGAAATACTCTGCTTCATAAGTTCTCACATGCACATATTCACATTTTATCATCTGTTAAATCAAGAAATGTCTTAATGATCATTGGGTGGTATGTCATATGACTGGCAGAAAATTTTCATTCTTTGAGATCTATAAATATGTCCCATGTTGACATGGGTCGATCCTGATGTTCCTGTAGTTTGGCAAGCTTCTTTCCCATAATGCTGTTCTTCAGCTTTCTAAAACGGAAACAAAAACCTACTTAGAGAAGTATAATACTGTGTGGGTATTCCAGTTTATCAAGAATGTCCTCTGAGGAAGGATAAAGATAAGAACCAAGCTCTACCCCACCAGAAATTCTGAGTGGAGATACATTTCAGCAGGTTACAAATTCAACACATAGCCATAGCTTTCTAAACACCAACAGCGAATGTGCTGGAAAAAGAAAACAGACCATAAAAGCCAATCATAATCACCTCAATGAATAATCTAGGAATTAACCCAACCAACAAAGTAAAAGACTTCTGCAAAGTAAACTTTAAGACACTGAAGAAATTAAAGAAGATACTAGAAGGTAGATCCACCATGCTAAAGGCAGAGCCCAATGAATACTAAGAAATGACTATCTAATCAAAAGTCACTTCCAGATTCAATGTGATCTGCAGTAATACTATAATGACATTAAAGGGAATAGAACAAACAGTTCTAAAATGCACAAAGAAATACACACACACACACACACAGAGGGGGTCAGAGGATGAGAATCAAAGGAATCCTGAATGAAAGACGACAACTGTCACAGTGTCTGATTTTTAAATTATATTGCAGAGTCATGGTACTTGTACAAAAACAGACACAAGGATCAAGGGTACAGAAGAGACAACACAAACATGCATCCTTAGACCTACAACCACTTGATTTCTGACAAAGATGTACCCTTTCAAAAGAAGAATCAAGTGTGAAGTTTTCAGAGCCCTAAATTGGAAGTACATGTCCTAGGTACAGCAGAAGCAAGATATGGTAGAAATTCGGGCACATCTTGGGGCTTAGCAGAACCAGACTCACTTTGTATGTCTTAGGGCATAATTCCAAAAGGCTTCAAGTCTCCTGGATTTGTGAAGCTCCACTGTATGAGAACCACGTGGTACTGTAGTGACACCTGGTCAAAGGTGATGCTGTGATGGATGAATCTGAGGTTAACAGCAAAGATCCAGCAGGTCTGCATATCCCAGAAGGATGCCAAAATGAACAGCAAAAAGAATGCCCCTCCCACATAGCGGAAGACAAGGAGCTTCCTTTGTAGCCAGAGCCTAGCGAAGGAGATCCTAGGAGGCCCTAGAAGGCAGAGTTCTCTGAATGGGGATCAGACACTAGAGCAACATGCCCCGAAACACAGCAGAGCTCTTAATGTTAGAGGCGAATGAGCCACTTTAATTAGCAAGGGTTTCTTTTTGTTGTTGTTGTTTAATAATTCTAGGATTTGGGTGCAATATAAACTTTAAAAAGTGTCTCTTCCTTAGCTATGTTCATAGCAGCATTATTTATAGTAGCCATAACCTGGAAACAGCCTAGATGTCCCTCAACCGAAGAATGGATAAGGAAAATGTGGTACATTTACATAGTGGAGTATTACTTAGCTGTAAAAATAATGACCTCAGGATATTTGCAGGCAAATGGATGGAAACAGAGAAAGTCATTCTGAGTGAGGTACCCAGACCCAGAAAGATAAACATGGTAGGTACTCACTCATAAGTGGTTATTAGATGTAATGCAAGGAATAACGAGGTACAATCCACAGCCCTAGAGAAACTAGGTAACAAGGAGGACGCTAAGAGGGATGCATGGATTTCCCTGGGAAGAGGAAATAGAAGAGATCTTTTGAGTAATCTGAGGGCAGGGTATGGGGAGATGGGTTTGGTGGCTGGGCTGGGTGCAAGCAGGTTGGCGGTGGGACTGAAGGGGAGAGTCACAAAAAAGAGATCTTGATGGGAGGGTGCCATTTCCAGGTTAGGGAGAAACTTGGTGCAAGGAAACTCCCAGAAACCTACAAGGATGACCCCAGCTAAGACTCCTAGCAATAGTGGAGAAGGTATCTGAACTGGCCATCTCCTGTAGTCTGATCGGTGACTGCCCTAAGGTCATCAGAGAGCCTTTACCCAGTAACTGATGGAAGCAGATGCAGAGATCTACAGACAAGCACTGGACCGACCTCTGGGAGTACTCCTGAAGTGAGGTGAGGGAGGTCAAGGTCATGACAGAAGAACCCACAGAAACAGCTGACCTGAGATCCTGGGAGCTCAGACTCTGGACCACCAGTTAGGGAGACTGCATTGGGATCAAAGCAGGCTCTCCACATGTGTGCGTGACAGTTGTGTAGCTTGGTCTCTTCTTCGTAAGGCTCCTAGCAGTGATATCAGGACCTGTCCCTGGCACTTAGCTGGCTTTTGGAAACCTGCTCCCTATGCTGGATTACCTCACCCAGGCTTTATGCAGGGGGAGAAGCTTGGCCCTACCTCAACTTGATGTTTTGTTCAAACCCATGGGAGGCCTGTCCCTCTCTGAATGGATAAACAGGAGAGGATGTGGAGGAGGGTAAATGGGAGTTGAGGGGAAGGAATGAGAGGAGAGGAAAGAAAGGACACTGTGGTTGGTATGTAAAATAAATGGGAAAAGGGTCAATTAAATAAAATAAAAATTTAAAAAATGTATTCATGTCTATGCGAATGTCTTTCACATGTTTGTGGGTGCCAAAAGAGGTAAGAGGGGATTGGATCTCCTACAGGTGGAGTTACAGGTGGTTGTACACCTGGCATGGATGTTGGGAACTCAACTCTGGTCACCTGCAAGAATAGAAAGCCCTCTTAAATGCTGAGCTACCTCTCCAGCCCTGAGCAATATATATTTAAAAACAAAAAGTCATAATTTTGCCATGTTATCTTAGCTGTGTTTACTTTAATATTGTTTCAATAGATCTGTGGGTAAATATGTTTCAAATACTAAAAACAATCTGGCTTAAATAAAAAACTGCTTCAGACTCTAAAACTGCAAGATAGAAATATTAATTATGGCAGAGAATGATGGAAACACAGAGAAGGCATGATCGGGACAACGGGAAAACTAGGAGCCTCATTTTTATTTATTTAACATCCTGATCTCAGTTTCCTCTCCCTCCATTCCTCCCATCCCCCGCTCCAGGACAGCCACCTTCTCTTCACCCCATCCCCCAACAAGCCCAGGATTCACTCCTCTTCTGGGACGCCTAACAATAGGAGTCTTAAAAGCAGAGACAATGGCGAATGGTGGCTGCGGTGCAGGAGACAGAGTGACAGCCAAATGGGGCTCTTGGGGGAACCGCTGGCCTTGAGGAAGAGAAGTGATCAAAATCTTTGAAAATTGGCAACACAATTGTGAAGAAAACCTTTTACTAAAATGGGATGTTGGTGCTGAAAATACGCAGTCTGATTCCATTGTTTCACAAATAAGAAAACCAGGAATTTGACGGTCTGTGAAAGCTACTCAAATTATCATTGGGGGGCGGGGGGGCAAAAGAACCCATGACTTCTCTATGTAGAATCTATGTGTTTTGTGTCAGGGAAATCATAAAGGAGACATGAAATAAAGCCCCTTTAGAAAATTATAAAGAGATTGTATATGAGAAGGCAAAGGGGTTCTAGAAAGCATTGTGAAAGCAAATACTCAGATATAACATGTGTTTTCATTTTTTATTAGAGAAGTTGTAAGTTGAATTTCAGCCTTCATGTTATCATAATTTTCTCTGTCCTCTTCAGAGGAACACACAGAATCTGTTTGTACAATCATATACAACAATTAAGTTGGCATTTTACATCCTAAAATCAGGACTCTGATTCGCCCAAGGCTACCAGGTCTCTGTGCGCTCCTCTGGGCTTGGGTAGCATGACTTGATCCCAGCATAACACTTGAGGCGCCACCTGCAAAGCAACTACAGCAGGCTAGAAGACCATGCAGATTAACACGGTAGCAAATCGTTTGGATATTTAACAGACATAAAAAGGTTATTTCCTGATATGAAAGTCTGAAAATCTGCATAAATATTTTTGTGTAAAATTAAATTAGTTATGTATTTTTTTCAAACTAGAACTTGAAGTATCAAGAATGCCCACATAATTCATATACACATATATATAGACTTTTTTTTATTATGCTAAAAGTCTTGAGAGTCAAATAATATTCTGTGCCATACATTTACTTAACCAGTAGTTATTTGGTGTTAGAGTAACTGTGTCGGAACAGGTTAGTCATAACTGGTGCTTGTGCATCATGCAAAACATTAGATCTATGGTTCCTGTTGACTAGTCTTGTCACGTGGTAATGTTTAGATGATTTCGCGCTATAACCGTGAGAATTAAGGAGTATAAATACTTTGTACATGGTCACATTTACAAACCCTTGCCAATAACCACTTCACAACCCTTATAGTGTAGAGTGAACTGGAACACCTGGAACCTGCAGAAGGAATCCCTAGAGAGCAGTGGCAGCTGTAAACTTTCTGAAACGAGCCTGCCGAGTCCCCCTTGAAGCACTGATTAGCTTGGCACAGGGACACTCTTCTGTGTCTCTATTAGTCTAACAGTGTCTGCAACATTGACAGGAAATTAGCATCTTATGGCATGGTAAAGACATGGCACTTTCTGATGAGGTAACTTAGGTATAGGAAATTCCGCAAAGTGATTTGGATAGCAGACCGCCACTTCTGCTAATGAACTGTAGACAGAGTTGCTTCTAGTGCATGCGCTTACTATTAAGTTACTAATGCACTATTTTTTTTTTTCTGCAGCAGCAGCTCAAACATGTCCTAATGCATCACAAAGCAGAGCTGTTAACATCAAGCCCACTGACTTGTGATGCTGTCTTTTAGCACACATGTTTAAGTTGTGTAGCACGGTTCGACTCTGCCTGTCAGGAATAGGAGATTCTTTGTTATTGTTGTTGTGAATACATAGCTATTTTTGGTTGGCCAAAGAAATTCAATAGTCAGTTGTTAAACAGAAGAACATTTGGTCATCCCCAGTCTGTGTGGTTTCAGATAACACCGTGTTTGTACATTTAAAAAAAAAAAAAAAAAACACAGAAAACAGCTTTTGTCCGTGGAGTCTGAGTTTCGAGCTGGGCATGATCTCCTGACGATCCGTGGTTTTCCAGCCTCAGTTTGCACTCTGGAGTTTCATACCACTGTTGCTGGTCTGCGCTCCATCTCGGCCTCCAATTTCACCATCTGCTGCATCTCCTTCGCCTACAACACCAGAAACATGGCCTTACATATGGAAATCCCCGTCTGAAGGATCCCACTGGCTCTTGTCTGTTTCCTCTAGGCCTGTCCTGTTTTCACACACGTGACAAGTAGACCAACACCCTCGGAACTTCCTGGGGTACTCTCGGAAATGCAGAATCTTGGAGTTTACTTAAGATCCTCTGAATCTATCCAACAAGATCATCCAGGAGAGTTTAATGCACATAAAAGTCCGAGAAAAACTGGCCTACAAATTTCTGGGGAAGATCTCATGTAAAGAAGTTGAGCCAATTACTTAGATGATCAAACTGTTTGACTTAGTGTGGCTGGTACCTTGTGAGGAAAATTCTATCATTTTCAGAATAGCATTGCTTATGTATAACTCATTTTTTCAAATAGTCTAAAATTTAATTAAAAGTAATTAAGACTTGAGTCTTTCGATGGGGATATGTAAGGTAAAAGCATATACACTACACTGCTTTGACAGGAGTACCTATCAACATACCATTACAGGAGCACGGAGGATTCCGGGAATCTTACTATCTAAACTCTGGAGCTCTTGCTTCTCTGGAATAATTTACTTTTTATGGAACACCAGGATATAAGCCAGGATTAATTGAATATCATGAATTAAGATAGTCACTAAAGCGACCAGCTTATTCAAAAGGGTCAGCAGAAGCAGGTCCCAATAACAAGTAATTACTTGGGAACATGGGGAAACCGAGTGATTCATTTCAAATTTGACTTTCCAACCGAAAGCCTAGATACCCAATCCACATGCTTGCACCTTTTGGTGAGGTAGGGAAACAGTCCCTTTTCCCCCTTTTAGTGATAGGTCACTGAAACAAAGGACAGGTAAGGATGGAAACAGGAGAAAATCTATAAAGATACACTGTGGAAGGAAGATTCTGAAGTGCCCTGATGCTACTGTTTATGTCTTCTTTGATATTCCAGCTAAATGGAGCGTCAGAGGGAGGGGCTGGTCAATTCTAGATCATACTAGAAGTATCTAAGTATCCCAAATGAAGTTCCATAACAAAACCAGTTTCTCACAGACAATGAAGTGTTTTAACAATATGGCTTCCACCTTCATTTTAGTGAGGGTAGGTATAACATCACCAAAGAATTTTAGATCTGCGTAAACTTGGGGCTCATGATTCCCTCTACCCATATAATTTTCAATGCCTGACATATAGTAATACAGGAAAATGAAGAAATGGAGAAAAATATACAAACATGAAAGAATGACACGAACAGTATTATAAGAGATGGCCGTGAGACATTGTCAGCGCTGGAAATTAAATGACTTGATGTTTAGTGGACAGTAATAAAATTCCCTATGCATTTGCATTTAAGGATTCTGTTGAATATAGTACAGAATGCCCATTGAAAGATTATCCTGAGAGCTCAATTCTCACATGATCAGGGTGACCATCTACTTCTATTGCCTGGGACAACTTAGCTGTAGTCTGGCTAATAAGAACAAACATCTTTCTCCAAAATATTTTGTTTCTGCTTTAAATAGTCAATTATATAGTCACCTGACAAGGGGTGACTAGTCATAAGTGGATCAGACTTAACAAAGAACATAACAAAAGTCATTGTAGTATAACATTTCTGCACATAGACCACAATACTACATCACTGAAAAGCACCAACAGACATTATATATAAATAGTGTTCTTATGTCTGGGTTTTCTTCAAGATAATGACCTGATTCCCAGATTTACAACTGGAAATGCTGGCTAAAACACTACCACAAACAGATGTGACAGCATTTCAGATTAAGTAGGATGAGGAATTCAAGCATGAAATAGCCAGGGTTTTAAGTCTAACCCCTTAAGATATTAGTTAGTTATGACCAGATGGGAGTCATAAATGGAAATCAAATCAAGAATACTGATGTAGCCAGAGAAAAGCAAGGTCTTGCTTATCATCAAAATTTCAGTCCTACCTTGTGTTTGGGACACTGCATGACAGGATTTCAAAAGCTGTTTGTACAAAAATAGTAATGTCAAAATTGAGTCATACATAGAAAACAAAATAAATGAATACTGAAGTGATTTTGAGAAATGAATGCAAAACCATATACAGAAAAGCAAAAAAAGCTAAGAATAAAACACATACACACCCATTAGCAACAACCTTCCCCAAGCTGACTCAACAAAGGAATAAAAATAACCGAACAAACAACCAATGCCTATTAGTCCCACGTGTGCCTCTCTCCTGTAAGGGGGTAGGTTGTCTGAGCTTTAGCTGAGTCCTTTCTTTACAGCACTTTATTGAATGATGGTGTCGATGACAGATATTAACTTTTAAGAGTTGAATGTGACAGTAATGATACTGTTAAATGTCTGAAATGGTATATGTCAAGACAGATGAAACACTGTGTTGGAGAACTATGGGAAAAACTAAGTCACACACACAAAAAAATGCCCTGGCCCTTGGAAGTCTAAGTGAACAAGTGGCTGATGACAGACACAAGGCTAAAAAGTGTTTACAAAGGCCACAGGATCCAGAATCGAGAAGGAATTGTGTGAACCTGTTAGCTGTTACTACCAGTGCCTCTGACAGTAGTCTAGTTACATAGATCCACCAGGCTTTGTTTTGGGGTTGGTAGGACATGGCTGGGAATTCTACAAGACTAGGGAAAATAAAGTAGAAAGGGCTATGTTGTATGTGTGGTTAAATTAAATCATCTTTGATCTACACACAGGGAGAAATTTGGGGCTTAGCAGCAGCTTGGAAGATTGATTTAGAAGTTTGGTGTTTCGCGAAGATGATGACTGCCTTGCTGAAGGAACGCTTGCTTGACTATGGATGGAGTTCTGTTATGTGGCTCCAGCCTTTGTCGACATGAGGAAACAAGTGGATACAGTGGACCCCTGCACAGTGCCTAGGAGAGTGTTGTATCAGGCAGACAAACTGTGAGTCCAGCACTTCCTGGCCTTGTGTTTAAAAGCACACTACAAAAACCTAGTGTTTAATTTGCTATGGAGCAAGTGATATTTGCAAATTGAACCTTAATGTAGGAATTCATTCCCAATTCTATGTTTGCTGGAAGTTGCTATTTGACATAGTGAATGCCTTTTCCTTGAATATCATTACAGTTTTACATCTGGATATTTTTCACGTTGGGTGCTTTCGTAAGTTTCTGTGACTCAAAGCCTGAGTTGTGGGTGGTAGATGATCTTATGACACATTAATAGGCATTATGTGAAGTTTAAGAACAAAAAGCCAGCATCTTTACAACATGATCCAATCAATACAACTCTCAGGAACCTCATATTTTAATGCAATCTGATGTGGTTTGAATTATCCATGACTTAGTTTAATGCTCATAATGATTTCTTTATTATGCTTTAAAAGCAGCAACACCTGAACACTGTATTCTGTAGCTCTGATCTACACCACTATGTAGTGATGAGCAATTTTTAGCACATTTACATTCTTTAGTCAAACCTGTTGCTAAGCGACACGGTAATTTCTAACTAGTTTCCTAATTTAGATAGTTAACACCTAACTCTGCCTTGCCTTTCATCATGTCCTTCTTTTAAAGCAGATCCTAAACGCTCTCAAAGATATCCTCACCCTCTACTTTCCTTGAACCTCTGAAGTGAGTTCTGCAGCTTTTGGGGATGGTAGCTTTACCCTTTCTTACAGTCTTGTATTGCCAGGGACACATTCTGGAATGCGCTTTAAAAACGGAAAACATAATGCATACCAGAATATGATGAATTCTGATGAAGCCAAAAGAACTGGACTTCTAGGACCAAACAAGTGTCCAGTCTCTCTTAGGGATCAGGACTATGACTAGAATTAAGACACTTCATTCGGAACCATGAGAGGACCAAGTTCTGTCCAACAGAACGTGAGGACTTGAAGCCAGAAGCTAGGTGTGTTACCTAAGCTCCAACACAAAAATGACTATGGTTTTGTGTTCTTTTCAAGGGCCTTTTAAAATGTAATTCCTTCTGAAGTATTCTTCAGGGTGAGCTATTTACTCTGAAAAATAATCTTACATAGGATTGCTTTCTAGAGGGGAAGAAATAGAAAAGAAAAATGCATTATTATTTCATCAGAAGCTCTTTGCAGTTTCTAAATGGATGTAAATCATCAACAAAGTACAATGTCCGAACCAAGAATGAAATGGGACCAAGTAAGACAGAAATGTTCACTCTGGTAGAGCTACCAGAGGTTGTAAGGAAGGCCCATGTGGGATAGAGCCTCCTATGCTGCACTGCGGGGAAGCAGATGTGCCCTGGTGCAGGTACCTGAGCAAGTGACGTCTACTAACCACTGTGTGTAAGCTTCAACTTCTCTAGTCAGTGTTTTTCTTTTCTTTGAGAAAAAAAAACAAACAGTGAGAAGATGCTAAGCTGTTGGGCTGCTTGTTGAGTTATGGAGGCAAACTCAGATCCCACTGTGACGCTCTGGGGAGAATTTACACATTCACTTTTTTAGATTGATGCTCAAGAGAGATGGTTCTTTTGGTTGACTTTTATATGCTGACACCTACCAACTTCAAGCTGCAAAGCTTTACATGAAAATGGAGGAGTAGTAATTCGCAACCTGTTTGCTCATATCCTTCTTGAAACCCAGCCCTATGACTGATCCAAATGACAACTCTGCACTCTTCACGCCCCACACCCACATTCTTCTCCCACTCCACAAAAGGTACTTCTGGCTTTTTTAGATGAAAAGGAGAAAGTACAGCAAGCGCCCAGCAAGGCTCTCTACCTCCCCACTCCCTGTACTCCGGGCCACAGTCCTTCCCAGAGGGTTCCTGTGGGCCACGGCACCACCACCCTGAAGCTGATGGGCTGCCGATGTCTGCTATGTGCGTTGGGGGAAATACCTGCTCATTCTGTTTCTCTAGGAATTCTAGGTGCTCGAGTTGAACTTTTTTCAATTGATCCATTTCTTTCGACTGTTTCATCGCCAGCTGGAAAAAAATATGATCAATTTCAAGTTGTAGTCTCAACATTACAAATGACGGATGGCTTATTAAACTCATCATTTAACTGAGGGTAACCATACTTTTTAAAAAAAAGAATGAAAAATACCATGAAAATTGTTAGGAGTTTAAATTCATAAACCATATTGGGCATATCTTCTCCTTTCCTAAATCTTAGCAAATAACTGAACACTTCTGCATGACTGAAATTTGGCTTTATAGCCTACATAAAATGCTGTCAGATCATTTCCATAGTGACAGCAGTAAGAGATTGCTTTGGCTTTTGGGGAGGGGCAATGTTGGAATATTTAGGGTACAGAAAAATAAAGAAATTAGGTAACCAGCTTGAAAGGCTTGGAGGCTAGCACAAGTTATTATTCACAGATTTTTTTCTTCAAAGAGGAGTGCCGAGAAAAGCATGAAATACTCACTCTCTTTCTTTCTTCTAGAAACTTTTTAGTGTTGCTGCTGTTCAACTCCCTGACTCGCCTAAAAACAACAGAGACAGATAATAGTGTGACACCATACGGGATTCACATACAGCCATAAGAACCAGTCTTCCCGCACCGCATTTTCCGGATTAGATTATTGCTTCCTTTTCCTTTAATCTTTATTGTAGCATTTTCTAAACACACAAAATTCTTAGGAAAGCATAAAAACCAACCATATACAGATCACTCAGGTTAACCAATAATGTTTCTTTATGGTCTCACACTTCAAAGATCTTTGTTATCTTGTTCAAGTAAATGCACATTTCCTTGCATGAGTTCATTTGCACCCTGCATGTGCAGGAGCCCTCTGTGGACAACGGAAGTGTTGGATCCTCCGGTACTGGCGTTACAGGCATCTGTGAACTGCCATGTGGGTGCTGGCAGGAGAACTGAGGTCCTCTGCAAGAACAGTAAGCACCCCTAACCACACAGCCATCTGTCCATAAGTAAAAGAGAATGCTACATATGAAATTTAAACTTCTTTTGCACTCCTTCAGATTCTATTTTCCCTTCTTCCTCTCCTTGAAGGACGTACTGGGGCTGGCATAGGCTTACTTAGCTATATTTTAATAATTTTAACTATATATGGATGTGTCCATGAGAAATACCTCTACGTGTTAGAACTTTCCTGTGCATAAATCCCCCGGAGGATCTACCAAAGATAGCCTGCTGTGCTCTCCGCCCGAGTCAGACTCAGAAGGGCTGAGGGGCCAAGGGCTTCAGTGTTTCTAATGAGATCGCACATAGCACTGATGAATACTGCGGGCATGCTAACATCATTCTGTGTGTTTTAAGGACTTAGTAGGGTGTTTTTGGTTTCCTTCACAAGCCCAAGCTTGCAGACTTGCTTGCTGGTAGGATATGAACAACCTCCTCTTCATCCCATGACTCTGTCTTTAACCCTAATTTGCATTTTTTACTCCAGAGGAGCGTGGGGCTGCTTTCCCCAGACAGCTGCCCAACCTTGATTTACGAGATGCTGACAGTTCTGCCCCTTTGTGGGTGCATCATGCTGTTTGAACTGTGCCCTTGATTGTAGGTGGGGTGCTTTTCACGACTACACAACATCCAAATGTGTGGACTTCTCTAACGACAATGTCTTTTCAGGCATTTCCGTTTGCAGTCATTTCATGTGTGTTTTCCTTTTCTCTTTTAAAATAATAATTATTCTTTGAAAATTTATACGTGTATACAATGTAAGTTTCCTACGATTTTTCTCCAACATCCCACAGTGCCCTCAACTAGTCTCCCTCCAACATCTTCCTTTTTATTATTAACATTATTAATAACCTCCAAATCCAATTAGCGCTGTTTGTATTCATGTAGATGTGGGCTGTCCACGGGGGCACGTGCATTTTTCTAAGTAATTCTCCACTCTACGCATATTTTCAAATGTACCATTAGCATTATAGAAGCCTTTCAAAATTATTTTCCTCTTTATTTTCAGTTTTCTTTCCACACACCACTAATTTTTGCTTCTTCTCTCCTCCTGATCGTTCCTGCTGACAGTCTAGTGAGGATCTCATCTGCCCCCACAATTTCCACAAAAGCCATTACTTTCTGGATGCTTTCTCTTGCTTCCCCCCCATTCTAGTACTTTGCGCATTTTGTTATTCATTTTCAACTGGGATCTTGGTATTCACTCTGGTTTCTACCTTTATATCTTCTTTGAGTATTCACAACATTAATTTTGACATCTTTTAGGAAATAAGCTTTTCATGTAAACATCACTGCAGTTTCTGTCCATGATCAACAGTGCTTGCATTTTCATTTTGTTATAAATATCCTATAATGTCTGTTCAAAGTCTTTTCTGACCTAGGAATAGAATAACATTTTAGTTTCTATTGGTCTTGCTAAGTCTTATGATAAACCTTTAACTTTAGTCCTCAGCAGGATGATAAAACTGAAATCACAACCATATACACGTGCTTCTTAAGGGGTGGTTGACTTGTTGGCACAAAGGTTATTATCATTATTTTAGAAACAGATATTTGTTGATGCTTTATGATCAGATAATGATAGACAAAAAGTTTCAGTCAACAAAATAAAGATATTTTTTTTTAGACATGGTTTCTCCCTGTAGCCTCAGCTGTCCTGGACAAGGCTGGCCTTGAACTCAGAGATCTACCTGCCTCTGACACTTGTCCCTCTTTCCAGTGCTGGGATTAAAGGCATGTGTCACTACACCCAGCTAAAGACAATATTTTTAAAGCCTGGATAATGACATTAGCAACACCTTAGAGTTTTGGGTTATTTAAAAGTTGAGTATGGTAGCTACCCCACTCAACCCAGAGCTCAATATTCTGAGACAGGAGGATCTTAGTGAGTTCCAGGCTGGCCTCAGAAACACAATAAGACATTGCATTGCAAAAAAATAAAAGAAAATTTGAACTCAGATGAACTTAAGTCTACTTTCTAATATATTTGATAAAATACAATAAAGGATGATCTAATACCCCAGCCTTCACGATGGATTTTATATTTCACTTTGTACAGCCCAAATTTAACAACACCGTTAAAAACAATTCAAGTTAAAGATTAATCCATATTTAGCATTTTTAGAGTATTTGAGGGTTTTGAACTGAAGAAGATATATTTGTTTCTATGTATATAAACACTTTTAAACAGAGTTCCTTATCTGAGAAAGTGTGCAGAGACTGGCACCTCTGAAAAGTTTACAAGAGTCAGAGAGACACAACCATGTCACACTACAAACAATCTCTGGACGGATGACTAATGATCTCCTTAGAACCTTCTTCCCGGGAGGCATAGACGGCACTCATCTCCAGGTCAAAATGACTGTGGAGGGCCACTAAGAAAACTTGGTGGAAAAAGGAACCTGCAACCAAGCCTGAGAAGCTGAGTTTGATCCTTGGGACCCACAAGAGCAATCCAAATCCTGACAGTTGTCATCTGACTTCCACATGAGCACTTTGTACGACTGTGGGTGCTCCTATGCGCTCTCTCTGTCTTGCTCTCTTTCACACACCATGCTCACATAAAGTAAATAAATAAATATAATAAAAAGATAAACTACTATGGAATTCCATTTCCCTTTGGTGGGGTATTATAGTTAAATGGCATTTAGCAAAACTTCACTATAAAAGATGAGTTAATTGGCAGGATGCTTTGTTGTTTGTCATATTTTGATTTACTATTACCTAGCATCATTCAAGAGCTGAAAAGAATAAATGCAACTGAGGCAGTTCTGCTCGAAACATCAGCACCCACTGAGTATCCTAGAAGGCTGGGGAGTCGAGTTAAAGCACAGAGAGCCCACTTTTGTGCTGCCAAGTCTTCTAGGTTTATGGAGTTCTTGGTTCACGGAGTGACACGTGAGCCTGAAATGCCACACTCCTTTTCCTCTTCGTCCCCAAGGACTAATCTGTATTCTGTGTTTTGTGGAGCAGAAAACAGCCAGCCTTTCAGTGGCCCTGGTCTTCAGTGCCATCTCACCAGCTATCATCCATCCATGAGCAGGACCCTTGTTGTCTATGGCTCCCACAGTTCTGGCCTGGTCTTTGTCTGTGAAACTGAAGGCTTCTGGATACTCACAGATGGATGATGGGTAGTGAGGTGATTGTTATCTGTGTTCCCTTGGAAACACCCCACTATGGGTAACAAAGTTACTGAAAATCACCTGTGGTTCCTTTTAACAGCTGTAGTGAAGGTTTGCATATAACACCTGGTACCACAGCCTTAATCAGGTCTTGTCCCACCCCATCTTATCTTCCCATCTTCTTTGAGGAAGACCCCTTGCTTGGTAAGTCATATCCACCCAGATTCCTGCCTCAATCTCTCCTTCCAGACAGCTCCCCTAACTCATAGACAAACCAGAAAATCTATGTGGAAGCTTTACATATAATCCCTGATGTCGAAGGGTGTAAATCAAAGTGAGAAAAAGCCTTCCTAACACTCAGAACCATCACATCCAGATTTGCTGACACCTGAAACCCAGAATCATCGCATCCAGACTTGCTGACCCCTGAGCCGGGGAGAGATTAGCCTGACGGTTTGGTAGAATGCAGGAAGAATGCTACAGAATTAAATCGATTATTGTCAGGTTTTATATATGTTGTGTGAATATAAATACAGTTTGCCAGTGGCAGTCATCAGGAAAATATTGGGAACTACTATACTACTGCAGTAATAATTTCCTTCCATGGTAATTGTACTAACAGGGCTCTTAGGACACTCACTTACAGCTCAGATCCATGCTGAGTTTACACAGTCTAATGTTGTTGACACTATCCCAGGAACCCAGACTGTCCCAGTGAACGTCTTCACACTTACCTTTCCCTTTCTGCCTTATTCTTGATAGATTTATCTTGACTGATGGCTTTACTATTTTCCATAGAAATCTTAGCCTGGTGGGCTCGCATCTCCTTGCTTTCCCTATGAAATAAAAATAAGAAACAAATGAATGGAGAGGCATATGATGGCGATTAAGAACTCCACAAGGCTACAGTTGAAGATTAGTGAGTATACAGATGAAGTCCTGGTGCTTACCATAAAGTATCATACGCCTTAAAAGGGTGTCTTTATGATATATAACAGGAAAAACAACAGATACCAAGACAATGTGTAACAATAGGGCCGAGTTCAAATTTTTTACATGCCTGAGTTCATGGAGTTGTTTTGTCCTTTGGCAATGGAGGGAAGGAACCCTAGCTCAGGAAGGAGAGCAATGGCTGAGGAGAGCATTGCCACCTAGTGGAGATATGTGTTGTGGCTGGTATATTTGCGCAAAGATGCTGTGTTTACTCCAAAAAAGAAATACACAGATGTTCAACTTTACCATGCTCTGTTTGGGACCCAGTGAGATGGACGAGACAGGATGCTCTAACCTTCACAAGTGACCTTCCTGTCGACCAACAGTCCATGGGAATGAAAGGGACTAAATAGTTCCAAGTATAGGAAAGAGCAGATCTGTACTGACAGCTGACTAGTGACTGTGTAAGTACACACGTGTGTATGACAGATATGTCTATTTTTGGATCACTCTTGTGTATAATAAAGGCATATAGTTTAGAAGACTAAAATAGATGTGATAACAAATAATTTTTCACTTAATAAGTGATCTCCTTAGGAGTTTGTGCGGAATGTACAGGCAAGAACGCTGGTTACCTAGGTCCAGTAGTTTGTTCTACATCAAGAGGGATGTGCAAGGCTAAAATGGGATTTTAGTTAGCCACCTTGTATCCCATCAGCAGGACAATGAGAGGAACTCTGGACCCAAGGCAAATGCTCTCAGTTTCCCACAACTTGTTAGTAAAGTGATCTTTCCAGACACCCATTCTTCCTTCCTTTCCTTCGCTTACGAATGACCAAATGTTGCTAACAAACATTCAGTAAATGAGAACAATCACAAAGCCAAAAAGAAACGATACACTAGGCAATAGAGATTTAAAAAGAAAAAAAAAAACAACCCTAGTACTGCTGCTACTGTGAGGAGGAACGCTCTCGCCACAGACTTAATTTTAAGATAAATTAAAAAAAAAAAGATAAATTAGCAGCTGGGTTTGCATGCATGTGTGCGTGTGTGTATGTGTGCACACGCATTTAAATGACTTTCTAATCAATGAAAAATTAAATTTTTTATTTCTTTCAGGTACTATCTAACTTTTAGGCTTATAATTTTTCTCCATGTGGTTAGAGACATGATTCAAAAGTGCTTCGTACTCTAACCCATTTTGAAATAAGGGGAGGTGACTACAAGCTGCCACTGTCACAGCGCTCAAAGCGGGGAAGGGATGCTGCTACGGAGACTTGACTCAAAGCACACATGCAACCGGAAGCGCTCCTGAAGAAAGAAGACAAGACATCCTTTAACCCGAGGAAGCAGACCCAAACTCAGAACTCCACCGGGAGCAGCATGCTTCATGACAGAACCAGATCATACCAGGCGCCATTCGGCTGTCTCATGGGATAACTGGAAACTATGGCAAAACCACTTTATTTTCTATGTCAGGATGTCTCACCAAAAGTAAGGCTGGAAGTTTTTGCATACAACCATATAGTTTATGCAGTTGCCATGTTTTTTTTTTATGAACATTTGTTTTGTTGGAATAAACTTTCTGTTTTGTATTGTTTTGTCTATATCAGCATACCCCTGATTATACTTAATGAAGAAGTCCAGCTCAGACCAGGCAGTATTTCAAGTGCAACATGCCCGTTGCTGAAGTGGGGATAAGCAAATGAACTGATAGGTCTTGGCTACCTCTTGGCTGAGTCTGTCCTCCTAAAGTGCAGTCCCGGCAATGTATAGTAAAAAAGGAGGCTCTCTTGAATGCATTGCCACTGTGGGATGAAAGCCACCCTAGGAGCTCCACTGGCCAGGACTTATGTCTTACCTTCCTAAGAGAATTCAGCTGTTTTTCAGCTCTAGCCCTATTTACTCTTGAGCCCCAAAACACTTAGAGGAGGAAGACCATTTCTTAGTATGCATTATAGGCAACTTGCAATCTGAGCTAACTTTACATGATTGTGGTGTCTTCCTAACACATGCAAGCCATTAGCAGACACTACTTCGTATAAATCAGCTTCCTTATACTAAGTGTACGAGATACATTGCACTCGTTTTTGTTCTTACACACACACACACTTACACACACACACACACACACACACACACACACACACACACACACACGGTGTTTGACTCTCCCACCTGTCATGGGAGAGTTTCAGCTGCTGGGTCTGTTGCTCATGAGCGTTGATGAGCAGCTTTCTCAGCAGCTCACACTGCTGGTTCAAGTGCAGATCCCGGATTTCTTGCTCCTCAGCACTGTGTGTGTTGATCATTTCTGACCACTCCTTTGTGTGCTGGGCCACAATCTCTTTGACCTGTGTGGGGAAGATGGGATGGGTCACCTGGAACCTTTTGGGTCAGCTATGCACTGAAAGCATATGCTATTCATGCAGGCCAGTTTGTTTCGTGACTCGATGGACATCTACAACCCACAAAAGCAACAATCACTAATGACTGTTTTATTGAGATCAACATATCACTCTGGCTGCTAAGTCTCTTACATTGTCCTGTTATTTCACTGCCTGTCTCCTCCTTGGGTGTGCCTGGATCTTGGTCAGTTCCAGCACACTTCCTCATCTCATGCCTCACCTCTACTAGACCACAGGTCTGAAGAGAGAACTGAGTGTCCTCTTATTCCTAGATTATAGCTTACTTCATTGCCCTTAATAGACACTAGGGCAAACAGTCTTCCACTTCTCAAGGCCACACTTTGTGCAACGTGGTTTTTCAGCCCCTTGTAAATGGCTAGAGGCTGTTTCCCCAAATCCTGAAATCTGCCTGTCTCTGTGACTTGCTCTACTCAACGAGACAACAGCAAGTGTGCCTAAAGCAGAGGTATACAAACAAAATATTTTCCTTTTTCTACGGCTGGTGCCCTGCAAACGAGCCCGGACTGCCCTGCTGGAGGCTGGAGGCCATGCAAGGCACACAATCACCCTGCAGGTAGCAACCCCTCAGATATACAAGTGAGGATAACAACCCTCAGCTAACTGTGGATGCTTGGGTGAGCCCCACAAAATCAGAGCTGTCAACCACTTGAATATAGTCCAAATTTGTGGCCCTCAGAATGATGAGCAAATAAATAATACTTGTTTAAAGGCATTGCATTTTGGCAGCTTATGACACAGCCAAAGTAAATTGATAGCATTGCCAAGACTTCTGATCTACATGAGGAAAGGATCTAAAACTCATGGCATAGTACATAAAGCACTAATTCTCATATCCAAAGCTAAAAAGAGGAAGAGAGAATGGAGAATGATGCATAGTCCCTACCATGCAAAATAAATAGCACAGAGGAGCACTCACTCCATCCAGAAGAGTGTGACTGGTCTGTGCATGTGTCAGAGCCATGGGGATGGATGATAAAGCCTTACATAACCGTATAAAGCTGTTGTTTCAAGCATGTGCTATAGTTGAGAGCTTTAACAATAATTTAAAATTTCTTATTGCTGAAATCATGTTTGTGTTCCTCCTGAGTCTTAGCATTGAGGTCCTCTCCAAAGGCTCACAGCTTTACTTAAGGTCTCTCAAAATCCTAGTTTCATTTGAGTTGGGGAAATTGCCAGTAGTTAGGTTCAACTCTTAAAATGTCAGCTTAATTTTTATCACCCTAAAAGTCCTAGCAAAGATGCAGTAAAATACAAGCAAGTGCTTGGTGTTCCCTCTGTAGGGAAGCATAGTCTGTATTTTCAGTACCTGTGGGGCTTCCTTCCAGCCCCTTTGCTCACTGTTTCACTTGATACATCAGGATCATCAACGTAAGTATCGTCAGTCTATTTCTACACACAAGATAAAAAGATGTTCCACGAAGGGGCTTTTCTCAAAGATGGGTAAAGCTGCGTCAAGCAGAAACCTCTGACCCCATCTTCCAAGTCCAACTACCGCTACTGCTTCTGATACCAGATCAATCCTGAGATGCCCCTTCTAAAATAAACTATAAAATATTTTCTTCAAGTCACCGTGTTTAAAAAAAAAAAAGTGGGGGTGTTTTCTTACCTTAGATTTGTGATCTGATGTCAGGGTCTGAATTTTAATTTCTGTTTCTTTTTTCATTTCAAGACAATTACTTCCCCTGAAAATGGAGAAGTGAAAACGCATGCCAGAAATTAGATATCCTTCAGTTCCCTTGGGCCTCTGTGACAACATTTTCTGATGAAGACAATATAGTCATCAAATGGGTGATGATGCTATGGCTCATTGGGCAGCATCCGCTTTCCCAGGAATAGATTCACACCTTAGAAATGTATCTGCACCATGATTACTCAATTCAACCACACACAGAAATACTTCAGACCTAGCAATTATTTTCTTGTTATGGTCTGTTGTCAGAGTTTCCATTTTGGTTCCTGCTTTTCTTTAAGCTGTTTTGTATTTATTCCATAAAATATTATTAGGAATGAAAACAGTCTTGAAGTGAATTTCTAATTCCCTCATTTTGGTCATAAAGCCAGATTTTTGTCTTTTAAACATGCCAGCGAGGAAGAAAATAGCATTTATTGGCACTACATAGCAGGGAGGGGGTGGCTTATTCTCTTCTGAGTAGGAAACATATACCAGGCGATTGCCCAGAAACCATTACTGCTAATTCCAGTACTGGTATTTTCTTCTCCACGTTATTGCAGAAACCAGAACAGGACCTGGGCTTCTGTCTTCAGCACGTATGCTCTGGCTTATGCTAGCCCAGCTCACAGTGCTTCATTTTATGAACCAAGCGTCCTTGGAAAGCAACACTCTCCCCTGCAAATGTGCTCGCTTGTCACACCCGCCGCTTCTCAATGACTGGTACTCAGGGTGTTTCTTCTCCAGTCTGTTATTCAGCAAGCTGAAATGTTCCCCTGGCTTCATTCCAGACAAACTTCCACAGTAAATGTAATGATGGGCTTTATCCAGCCTTCTTAACCAGCTGGCATAAGCTAAGGATCCCTGTAATATTAAGAAGTCACGACTGCATAATTATTCCCCTTCACGCATTGCCTTACTCACTCTCTGCCCCTGCAGAAACGTTTGCTTTGATTTCTCCAACATTAACTTTTTCTTTCTCTGCCTTCTCCATTCACCTTCTCCCTGCCACCTTAACCAAGCTGAATGGAATGTTCTTGAGAGACAGTTATCCTGAAGTTAGGCAGGAACACTTGAGTAAAGTGCCTTTGCCCACTTGACCCATACCCTTCAGCTGGGTATGACGAGTAGGGAAAACTTCTTCACTGACCATGGCAATGAGGTCTAATTAACCCATACTGTAAATTGAAAATATCAAAAAAGCAAGATGCATTTAATCCAAGCAAACTACTCAGTCGGCTGCAGATGATCAACCATTCTTTGCCTTATGTGGCTGACAGGGTGATGCTGACCAGAAATTATCCCACCACCAACAAGAAACCCAGGCAAAGACAAAATTCAGAATTCCGAGTTCACGCATTCCTGGGTGCAGGTAACTCCTGCACCATGATGAAGCTGAAAAATCACAACTCAAACCATCTTCAGCCCAAGGTCAGCTGCACATGTTCTATGAGAAATGGATTTCATTACAGAAATATCCAAACACATATGACCAATTTCCCTTTTGACCAACATTCCGGCAACCTAGAAACACAAAGTCTAGGTAGCAACAGGAAGCTCCCCTTGGAGTAGGCTGTGCAGATGAAAATATCTGATAACTGGCTATGAAGGTACTTTCCATGAGTTTTTTAGGTCTTGTATTTCAAGTACTGAGAATATTCTCTCTCCAGAGCCTGGGGGCAGATCTGCATCTGGCAGCATGGGCTCAGAAAGAAACCTACAGGAAGGCTTCTTCCGTCTCCTGTAGTGTGACGTAGAGCTTTATGTGTGGTGGAACCCACCACCTCCTCATGAGGATGACTCCATGGCCAGTGTCTCATATGAAAGAACCAGTCATAAACATCACTTTCATTCCATTTTATGCTTGAGAATAAAAATAATAAGATAAAAGTGAGTTCTTATCGAAAGTCCTAGGGATATTATTGCTACAAATGTAGGAACCTAATATCATGATTGACAGAGAATCTTACTATATAGTTCTTGCATCTGAAAACTCACAGTAAAACACAGAAAGAGCCCACATCTGTGCACAGAAGCACTGCACTAACTGGATTTAGTGGGCTCAAAAACAGAAAGAAGACATGAATTTGGGAGGGAGGTGTGTTGAGAGGAATATGGCAGATTCAGAGGGAGAAAACAGAGGATGTTATCATTGTATTTCATTGGATACATGTATAAATTTCTCAAAGTAACAAAAATTCATTTTTAAAAAAGAAAAAAAGAAAAATTACAATACTGCGGTCCAGAAAAAAATAGAACATTTGTTGAAAAGTGATGTATAAATAAAAACAAGTATATTCTTAGAAAGAGTTGGAAATCTGTCAAGACTTCACCCTTTGTAAACACAATATTAGGGTCTATACCACACACTCAACATTTTGTTTCAAGATGTCATTGAAAATGAGAAACTGACATTTTTAAAAGTTAACGCTGCTGATATAGTCAGAAGTCTGTAAGAGTCATGCTCATGGTTTGAGTATGACATGTCTTTAGAGGCTCATGCTCTGCATGCCTTGTTCCAGGTGGCCTTATTCTTGGAGGCTGAGGGATCTTTAGGACCAGGGCTTTGCTGGAAGAAGCAGGTCATTAGGGACACGACTTGATGGTTATGAGTGTTGCTGGTGTGTCTCTCCTTCTGATTCCTGGCCCTCAGTGATGCAAACATGCTCTCCCACATGCTTCTGCTGCTAAGAATGACCTTCCAGCCTCCTCCACCACAATAGTGTGAATCCAGGAACCAGAAACTTGTCCTGACTCACTTAAAATATACATCCGAATGCGTTTAAAGCAACAGGCCATGGCTCTGCTTCAGTGACGCACAGAAAAACAATGCGGAAGACAAAGGAGAATTGTATACAAACTGTCTGGTGTGTGTTTTTCTGGAAAACATAGCTGTAATAAAAATGAAGGCGACTCCAAACATGACCTCCAAGGTGAGAGGGCACATAATTATCCGCCACTGGTGCCCCAAGAAGGACGCTGGCTCCATGTCTTGAAATTAGAATTTTGGAGACCATAACTGTAACAAACACAGTCCATTCTGAGTTCAAAAATCTTAGTTTTCTAGGTATATCTTGACTGAATGTTAAAGAGAAAAAATAAGGGAGAAAACTAGAAAGTCATTTGTACTTATTTTCTCTTTCTTTCACACTGCGGAAGGCTAGAAAACCTCAGCAAAGACTTAAAACGCTAAATAAAATCATAAAATCCACTGAAGGAGAACAAAACTGAGCCCAATATGATGTCTGAAATAGAACATATATAAAATGTATATAGACACACGCACACATATCTATATACATACATATGTACACACACACACATACACACGGTGTGTACTCTTGACAGTATCACCCCCAAGTTTTTTACTAAAAAGTGGTACAGGACATGCAGATGGATATCAGTTAGGACCATCCTTCGCCAAGTGAACCAGGCCAGCAGTGCCATGTGTGACCCGTCATCACCTACACTGGTATTCTGTACCATGAGAAAAGCTGCACTGTGGGGTGTGTCTCTCCAAGACGCACAATCTCCCTCTTCTTCCTCTACCTATGAGGAAGTTCTGAAGCCAGAGAGAGTGGTGTTCTATAAAACAACTGAGCAGTATTGTTGCAAAATAAAAATCTCATGAAAGACAGAGAGAGACAGGATCTATCAGAGAATAAGAAAACAGAGCAAAAAGTAAGTGCAGCGTGCAGTTCCAGAGAGGATGCCAGAAAGAATGTTGGGAAACTGGTCAAATTATTGCTATTTAATCAATGAAAATGCACCAATGTCAGCTTTTTGTCTGATTATTATAATGCAGTAAGAAGGGATTTTTAATATTATCAAAAAATGAAGCTACGTGTCCTACAAGCACATGTTCCAAGATCCCCAGTGGATGCCTAAAACCACAGATAAATAAGATTGTAGCATATTTTCCCTATGAACAGACCTATGCCAGTGTTTACTGTGTACATTAGGCACAGTGAAATAGTAGTAATGGTAGCTAATAATAGCACAGAACAATTAACAAATAATATGATGTAAAAGAAACCATTTTTGGACTCTGATGAAATGCAGTTAGCTATATTTTTGTACCCTTTAAAATTACTTATAAAACAATTCCCAGAGTGGAAGAGTTAATTTCAAAATTATTTTCAGCTAAATTTTGTTGACTTTTTCCTTTTCTGGAGACAGGGTTTCTCTGTAGCTTTAGAGCCTGTCCTGGAACTAGTTCTTGTAGACCAGGCTGGCCTTGAACTCACAGAGATCCTTCTGCTTCTGCCTCCTGAGTGCTAGATTTAAAGGCTTGTGCCACCACTGCCTGGATGCTAAACCTTCTTTTTAAAGAAATCAGAACTAATTACCAAGAACTAAAGGTTTGGGGAACTCAGCTGAGATCATCCTTACACCACGACTAAGGGGACCGATGCCACACCCCACTGTGATGACACAGGGTTGGAAATGAATGGACCTCTTATCTACTAGGAGTAGTTCTTCATGATGAAACCACACTAAGTTCTTCCGTGGTCTAAGGCAGCTGAGCTGTGCAAAGTCACACTGCTAGAGGGGAGGAGGCGTCAAGACATTAACCAGCAGTCTTACCCCTTCTTCTTCATCGCCTTCTCCAGGATTTTCTCATGAGTTGACTTCTCTTTGTCGTATTGGGCCACGATTTTGTCAACTTGTGTGCAGTGTAACTTCTGCATGGTGCTGTGCTCCTGAGCAGGAAGAATTTGCAGTTATGAGCTGGAGTTCAGTTGGAGCTGGAAAGGTTTATACTGCCAGTCTGGCCTTCCTTTAACCAGCTTCCCCTGAGTGTTTGGAAAGCTGGTGAGTAATGCAGTCTGAGGACCAGACAGACTTCTGGTCCCCCATCCACGATCTGTTTCCTAATAAAGAGCATCCCTAAAAGGGGAGTCCCTACCTTCACCCTAATGAACACACCACTTCAAAAGGGAGCCTTACATACAAGTGGCACCCCGTATACAGTGTTGAAAATGTGAGTAGTCATTTGGGCTCTTCCCTGAAACGGGACAGTGTGGGAAAGTGGAATATGGCGCCTGCTGTGACATCATCCCTCCAGTCTCCTAACAGAGGTAAAGTTTTGAACATGAGGGCTCATCATGAATTTCAACTGCTGAGTTCAGAAGCAGCCTTCATGGTATCAACTACTATCAATTACGCTGCTTGCAGAGCAAACAGCAATGTTTTCGCTGGTAGTTTTACTAAAGTGCTAGATGTTTGCAGGTTTCTGAGGTACTTTATTCGACTTATTTGATGCTTGACCCACAATCTAAGGTCTACATCTCCCACTCCAGCCCCCACAAGCTGATCTAAGAAAGGACGGAACTGGAAAAAAGCAAAAAATAAAATTCACACGAGGTTAAGGTCTTATGGTTTTCCTCTGGAGAACACAGGGCTTGATACTCTGGACAAGGAGGTGTGGATACTGAGTCTCTCTTGGCCTGGGCTAGGAATAAGTACTCCCACTTTTCTGACCACAGTCAGGCCTAAACAGAACCAACCCCGCTTTGTTACTTCTCTCTTAGCGGCTGAGGGCATCTGGGTTCTGCTTTTTCTATCATGTCACTAGTAATATTTCTCTGATTTGCAGTTTAAGACACTGTCTTTTAAGGATGTAACCAACATGGACAACTGAAAAGCATTCTTGACTGTTAACGAAAGTGGCCCTAGATTTTCCCCTTGAGACTTACATGCTAAGTGGGATTGCAGTCTTCTTTACTTTTTCTGAGTCTAGTTTGATGGGCTCTTAAGAACCATGACTCTACTTTCCACTTCAAATTGAAAAACTGGTTCTAGAAGTCCGGAGACAGTTAGAAGCCTAACAACCAGCTGCATTCTGAGAGTCAAAAACAATTGACCATGAAGACGCAAGGACTGCTCCAATGGTCATTACCTCGTCTTCCCTGTCTTTTTTTCTCAGTGCCCTACCACTGTGCCACAGGCCTATTTCCAGAGCTTTCTTTTACAAATGGCAGTCTCCTATTCACACTGTCATCCGTGGTTTCATCTCCTAGCTAAGCTTCGTGTTAGGAAATGTACGTCGGAGACATGCCTGTTTAAAGGGCATTTCCATAATCAACGAGTTCTGTATGTGTTGTCTTCAGAAATATGGCTTTGCTGTCAGTTTGTAGAGAGTAACATATAGTTTTGAAAACAGCCTTGGTTGTTTGGGCTCCCCCATGGGTCCCCTTTGGACAACGATTCAATTAGATATAATCCATTCCTGGTATTGGAAGCTTTGTTTGGTGACAACAGATGCCCAGTTGGGGCTCTGTCTTTCCCATTATTTGGCGATTTATTTTAGATTCCCTTCATATATGTATATATTTTAGGAAGCTTCTTCTGTAATAGGGTCCTATACTACCCTTTAAATGGTCTGTAATTTTAGATGTCTTTATTCATATTCCCTCCCTTATATCCCTTCTCCCTTTCCTTTCCTACTTGAGCCTCCCACCATCCATAGCTACCTATTCTATTTCCCTTTCATAGGGAGATCTATCTGTCCCTCCCCCAGTCCCTTACTCTATACCTAACCTCCATGGCTGCATATTATAGCCTGTGTATTGAGGACATTATAGTAACATGCACATATAAACGAATAAACACTGTATTTGTCTTTTAGGTTCTCAGTCAATTCACTCAGGATGATTTTTTTTTTCCTAACTCCATCTATTTACCTGTAAATTTCATGATTTTCTTTTTTCTTTGTTTAGTTTGATTTGGTTTTTAACTGCTGAGAAACATTCCATTGTTCCTACAGATAGCCTTCACCCCTGTGTGCTAGTGGCTTCAGTACAGGAGGGTACTCTAAATACTACCCAAGGACACATGTAAACCACACATCCAGTCCCCGAGTGCCTCACCACCCACCACCAGAAGAATGTGTCTTGTTCTCTACCTGACCTTATTTGGAGATTGCCTCTAGGTTTATGCCTGACTCATCTCTAGTATGACCCTGGACACAGTTCCCTGCAGAAGCTGTCCCCCTATTGTCTACATGGTAATTAGAGATTGTGCTAGGAGCTTTACCATAGGACTGTGCTTCCACGGGTGATAACTAAGACTTGTTCTAGGAGCCTTAGGAAAGGAGTGTGCCTTAATACATGGGGAGGTGTTTAGTCTTACAGCAACTCAATATACCATGCTTTGTTGATATTCATAGGAGGCCTTTCCTTTTCTGAACAGAAACAGAGAAATGGAATGGGAGAGGGGAGAGGAAACTATAGGTTGGGATGTAAACAAAACAAAACAAATATCTTTATTTACATCTTACTATAATGTAGGGGCTTTAAGAACCTTGAAGTGACTTTCTGCAAGACAAGATAACTTGGACTTATCCAGCCACATGGGATATTGTGTTTAGTAACTGATATGAAGGTGTTCCTGTCAACTAGAGAGGAAAACGTATGTAGGATGAAATTCAGGCATCCTGAGGTGGAAGAGGTCAACTAATATGTCTCAGTTTCACAGAGAAACAGTTTGCATCCTTTGCCTCCTTTCCCATCAAGCAGATAGGCCTGCTAATGTCGGGCAAGAGAAGCAACACTCGGACATTTAGGGAGTAGATCACGTTTCCCAGAATTATGAAAACCCGTAGCATCTCAGTGCTGTCACTGTGTTCGACCCAAGGAAGGGGGCCTTATTTACTTACAAAGCTTCTGGCATAGTACATAATTAATATAAGACTATCAAGCTTGGCCAGATGGTTTGGGCTCAGTTAGCAGCCCTGCGGCTCCTGAACTCTAGGGCATTGGTTCAAGGGATAGAGTTAACTGGTCCTGGGTTTCCTTGTGTGCAAAACAGCTACATGAGAAAAATTCCCTTCCAGGAAGAGACAGCAAATGAGTGTTTGAAGAACTTTTAGCTTGCCAGGTGGTGGTGGTACATGCCCTTAATACCAGCACTCAAGAGACAGAGGCAGAGGCAGAAAGATCTCTGTGAGTTCGAGGCCAGCCTGGTCTACAAGAGCTAGTTCCGGGACAGGCCCCAAAGCTACGTAGTAAACCTTGTCTCAAAAATCACAAAGAGAAAAAAAAAAAACCTTTTAGCTGCTGTTCTATCATTATTTTCAGCCACAATAGATTTCCTGATTGTATATTAAAAAGCTGTTGAATGAGCTAAGGGAATTTATATTTCTGACCAACACAGTGACCACCAAGAGGCCACTGAATAACATAGATTCAGTAAGGAAAATCTGATTATATTATGGTACGTGGGCACCAACTTCACTCCTAATGACTGAAGTAATTATTTCATTTTCATCTTCCTGTGGCTTTTCCACAGTTCAATTTTTTACAAATCAACAACAAAAATAAAATACAATCTTTAAACATGTCTGCCTTTAATAGCTCCCCCCCCCCACACACACAGAGAAAGTCTGCATTGTCTCCTCTTTAGGCTACGAATTGAATCCCACAAATGGGGTGTGCTGGTTTGAATGAGAAATATCCCCATCGGCTCATATACATTTGAAATCTTGCTCTGCAGTTGATGGAACTGTTTGGGGAGGATTAGATGTGCAGCCTTGTTGGAGGAAGTGTGTTACGGGGGTGGGCTGTGAGGTTGCAAAGCCTCTTGCCACTCCCAGTGAGTCTCTCTCTCTCTGTCTCTCTCTCTGTCTCTCTCTCTGTCTGTCTCTCTCTTTCTCTCTCTCTCTCTTTCTCTCTGTGTCTCTGTCTCTGTGTCTCTGTCTCTCTCTGTCTCTGTGTCTCTGTCTCTCTCTCTCTGTCTCTCCCTCTGTCTCTCTCTCTCTCTCTCTCTCTCTCTCTCTCTCTCTCTCTCTCTCTGCCTGGAGGTTGTTGTCGCAACATGTAAGCTCGCAGCTACTTCAGCTACTTCTCCAGCATCATGACTGCCTGCTGCTATGCTCTCCAGCATGATGCTCATGGACTCCCCCTCTGAAACTGGGATTCCCCAGTTAAATATTTTCTTTTAGAAGTTGCCTTGGTCATGGTGTTTGGTCACTGAATAGAAAAGCAACTAGACACTGGTATTCGTGAAAGTCTGGAACAGTCTTTGAAGCCACCTGTCAGGAAGCATGATTAACTATCAATTCCACAGCACAGGGAACATTCACTGGCCAGGATAAGTTCTGGCCTCTCTGAGGAGAACAAACTGATGAGAAATGACAAGCTTTTCTAGCATCCATTGGTACATTAGCAAGTTCATCCCTCACTCCCAGCAGGAAGCAGGGGTCTGAGTGGGGCCTGAGCAGAGTGGGAAGGGAGCATGCATGTCTACTTGGAAGAGCGTCAACGTCCATTCAGACAGAGTTTTTCTCTCTCTCGTGGCACTTCATGAAGAGGACACTCAGGTACTGACAGCATTGGCAGTTAGATTTCTCAAGACAGAAGGGTAGTTCTATGCCTGTCCATCTTGCCCAGCTCAGCTCTGCATACCCCCACCCTGCCTCAGTTCTTCAATACTCCCCTCCTCACCTCAGTCCTGCACTACCCCATCCTGCTTCAGTTCTGCGTTTCCCACCCCCTCAGCACTGCACCCTCCACCCCACCCCAGCTTTGCACCCCCCACCTCACCTCAGCTCTGCATGCCTCCACCCGTCAATGTAAAATAAGAGTTGTGATATTTCATTTGTATTTTAATGAACAAAGCTTGCCTGAAGATCAGGGAGTAAAACAGCCGCACTGATCAGCCTTAGAAACCAGGCAGTGGTTGCACACACCTTTAATCCCAGTAGCCAAGCTAGTTTGCCACAGAAACTGGGCAGGAGTTGTGCCTACCTTTAATCCCAGCCCTAGAGAGGATTATAAAATGGGAGGAGACAGCTGACAGCTCAGTCTCATTCTGAGGATTCCTGGAGGCAGGATGGCTATTTCGGACTGAGGTAGAGGTAAGAGCCAGGGGATGGCTAATTTGCTTTTCTGACCTTCAGGTTGAACCCCAATATCTGTCTCTGGGTTTTTATTAATTGTTCTATGGGTGCCTGGGAGTTGAAAACCTTTTCAGCTCATTGGGGAATTCTTGGGGCCACTTCATCATAGTTTCTTAAACTTGGAATGACCTCTTAAGATTTCTTCTGATCCCTGCCTGACAGGAATGAAAAGTAAACATACAGAGACTTCAGAAGTAGGTTATTGGCTAGGGTTTACACAACTCCCAGAGGAAAAGTGAAAGGCGCTCCCTGCTATGCTCTCTCTCTATATACTGGTTTATAAACTGCTGGGGAGTAAGTGACCTGGGAACAAAGATACAAGCAGTTAGGAGAGAGGTAAGACGAGGTTCATACTTGGTGTCTAGCTGGCTAGAATTAGCTTCTAACTTGTTTTCTGGGCAATGAATGTACACAACACAAAATAGAAGTGGTAGGACTTCATCAAGGAGCTAAAAGTAAAATAAAAAAGAGCCAACAAAATGCACTCCCATGTATGCAAAAACCACAGTACCTTTGCGTGTTTCTTCTTTAATGAGTTTAACTCTTTCTGTTGTTTCTTTAAATGCTTCAAGTAAGCCTTCAGGAGAGAAAAAGAGCATTCAAAATAAGATCTTTCTTTTTTTCTTCCTTCCCTCCCTCTATTCTATTCTTTCTTCCCTTCTATCCTTTCTCCAGAGGTAGTCATAATAATTATACTTTGTGAGCTAAAAAAAAAAAAAACACTTGTTTTATCAGTGTGCGTGGTACAAGAACATTTGAAAGTGGTCAAAACATTTTACCTTCATTTGCTTTAAATCTTCTATCCTCACTTGAGGGATAAGTTCAATACCTTTAAAAGAAAAGTCACAACAATGTCAATGTATATTAAAAATTAGACTAAATAACAGACAATATGAACTTCCATTCTCAAGCCATACCTAAAGCATCTAAAGCAGCTTACATGCTACAGACAGAAACATCTTACATTCTTAGATACGCACTGAACGGGGCCATTGTCATGATTTGTGTCCCTGTTTCTCCACCAGCCTCTGATTCAGGCCCACAGATGTAAGAGAGGGCAGATCGCAAGAGAAAGCTCTAAGACAGCCCTTGGACAGGAAACAGGAAAAAAGCAGGTAGGTGTACCCCAGGCTCAGGCAGTCTCAGGTGGGCAGGTCCTCTGGAGCTCTCACGTGTAATGGCTTGGGAGTCACCCTATCTGAACGGAGGGGGCTTTGTAGAGTCACATGTAGTAATAGGAGCGGCGGGGCTGCGTCCCCAGCACCCCGGCCACCTGGCTAGCTTATGCCCCGAAATAACAACGCACAAATTGTATTCATTTAAACACTGCTTGGCCCATTTTCTTCTAGCCCCTTCTCAGCTAACTCTCGCACCTGGACTAGCCCATTTCTTATAATCTGTGTAGCCCACGAGGTGGTTTACCAGGGAGATTCTAGCATATTGCTTAAATATTTTGGTTAAATTTTTCAAAAAGAAGTTCACAAAGCCTTACTTTTTGGTGATAGATGATTAAGTTAGGAACAGAGTTGAAAGTTAGTTGACTGATACTGTGTACTTTGAGTACGCTATTGAGTATGGTAATGTTTTAAACACAGAGGAAATCATGAAATATGACTCCCTGTCTAAAGGATTCTGTCTTGAGATCCTAGAGTAACACACTTAGCCTGCTTGCTAGCTGAGCAAAGCCTGCCTGGACTCAGATAGTCAGGGCAAGCACAACTGCAGAAGAATCCCTAATGGGGTGTTTGACTGCAGATTTTCATCGTGGGTAAAAAGGATGCATGTGTACTCAAGGGTAATTGATATCTATTGGAATCCCAAAGGCGGGTATGGTGTATTTAAAAAGGTAGGTATGGCTTCCGACGCTCTTGCCTTTAGGTTTTATTTATTTGAAGATTTACACAGTCCAGTGAATGTCAAAGCAAAGTCAGCTGGAAGAATCAGTGCTGGGATCCACGGTATTTTGTGGTAGGATAGAAAGAGTATACAGAGCCATTTTCTGATATCTCATGTCTGGTGTCACAAGAACCCCAGCCTCCCCCAGGCCTCACAGTGCACAGTGAAAGAGAGAGGCAGTATAAACACGTGAATGTTGCAAGGCTAAGGGCTGCTGCGCACCGCAGCCCCGTGTCTGCGCTCTGTGCACTGGCACCCAGTTCCTGAGCTTCGGGCAAGGGGCTGGAGGTTAAAATACACAAACACACACAGACAGAGAGACAGTGCCACGGGCCATCCTTGAATTCCCCAAGAATGCCCCCTTTATTGTGTTCAGGGGCAGATTATATAGAGATAGCCACGCCCCAGCCAAACCCACCAGAAACCACTCTCCTGCCATCAGGAATGCCTGAAGGTCTCGTGCTCAGAGCAGCTGTAGGCACTCAGATCAGGGGATTACAAGAAATTCAGGATCTGGGGTCTCACTGCTCCCAACAAAGGGCTTTCTAGTCGTGGCTGCCAGCTCTCTTGTTTACATAAAGAACACAGGGTATAGGATACTGCAAGGTCCTCAGATACCTAGCAAGTCCTCAGGACTTAGGCCACACCAGCAAGACTTTCTTCCCTTGTTTTGGTCTTAACCAAATCTTGATAACACCAGAGCCTGAAAACCACAAACCTTCCTCAGTCACAATTTTCACTGTTGGAGAAATACACAAATGGTGTATGAAATTTTTAATTTCCCTAAGTAGTTAGGAAAATCTCATATTTTATAGAAATTGCTCTCATTATACATGCTTAGAGTCGTGTGGTCAATAGGACATCTGACAGTAGTAGAGATAGCTTATGTGTGAGGTCTCTACAGAACACGTAGCTCCTGAGTGCTGGAAATGTGGGCATGCAAGGAGCTGAATGTTCAAGCTTACTCTCAGCTCCCTTGCATTGCTCCATGTGGCCACAGGCTACCATGCAGAACAGTGCATGTCTGCTGGCTGGCCTGGTACGGAAGTGGGTCACATACCATATCTTAAGTTCCAAAGGTTCTGGCTTGTTGTAGTTTTGCTACATAAAGCTTTTGATACTATCAATATAACTCCATAAAACAACTTGCTTTCTCAAACCCTAATCTAGAAACTAGCTAGGACCCCAGTATGCCCGATCCCTTTCTGTTAAACATCAAAATAATGTAGCATGGGTATGGTCATTGCTGGTTTTCGAATTCCTCACTTCCTCCGTCTCCAAATCTGCTCTTCCAGGGGGCCACAACACTCTGCACCCTCTTACATTTTCCTTCTGTCTCTCTTCATTGCTTGCTACTGACATCAGAACTATCAGAACATGTGTTTCAGGCCTTAAGTCATCAATTTTGATAGCCAGGCTTCTGAACTCAGCAACCAGGCATCCCTGATTGTACAGAAATATTATTATCATGATTTCTCTAAATCGAGAATTCTTCCTCTAAATGAATGCTCATGTAATTTTCAGACCTCTAGTCTTATTTTTCATTCATTTCTGTCATTCATTCTGCCTGAGGGTTCTTATCCCCTCACTCCTCTGCCTCTCCCACTCCGCGCCTAACACAGATCCGCTGCTCATGTGTCCATATCAGCATCACTTGATTCTTTAAAATAAATTGTCTTTTATTAGCATTCTATTTATTCATCTTTTGTTTTTGAGTCAGAATATTTTTTATTTTTATTTTATGATCATTAGCATTTGCCTACATGTATATCTCCTTGAGGGTATCAGAAGCCCTGAAACTGGAGTAACAGACAGTTGTGAGCTGCCATGTGGGTGCTGGGAATTGAACCTGGATCTTCTGGAAGAATAGCTAATCCTCTTAACAGCTGAGCCCTCTCTCCAGCCCCTCAGCATCAGTTTAAACTCGGCAGCCAGAGCCACTTCTTACCAAGGTGGGCCCTCCCTCAACTCCTCTATTGCTCTTGCCATCCACTTGCAGAGTGTCACCCTGGAGACTCTTAAAATACATCTGAGTTTTTTTTTTCTTCTCTTGAAGATCCACATCCAAACTACTAAATCCTTTCTCCCTGGTTCTTTTCTCATGATTACCTCCAGTTTAATCATGCCCTCTCTGGTCAGCCATTTACTAGTCATGTGCTTCCTAAGAAAGGACACTGCCAGATCTTTCCAGCATGGTTCCAGGGACACAGTAATGGTGCAGGATGTGTCTGTCTGTGTTAACCTTTTCTCTGGTTAACCCTCCAATCATAATGTGCTAAGTGCTCTAAAGACAGTCCCGTGTATCAGGAGTTTTGATGGCTTGTAGCATCTCTGCTGGTAATGAATCCTGATGTTGATGTTGTCCTCCACTGCCTTCTTAGAGTGATCCCAGAGCTATTTTCAGACCAGGGCAAGTGAGCGGCTTCCACTTTCCCTTCAGGTAGCGGTTTTCCCTTGGTTTCTCTACCCACTTCCTTTTGGTGGAGCCAGACCTATGTTTCAAGGTCCAACTCAAGGAAGATCTTGTCTCTGAGTCCTCTCTCCTCTTCTGTTCTAACTAGTTAGTCCTCATTGCACCTGCCTAGGCTGGTCATTGCAATGGAGACTCTCCTTACTCTCCCCTGCTCATTCATATGTATCCCCAAAGGTATACAGGCCTTTATCATTTATTATTATTACTACTACTACTATTATTATTATTATAGTGGTAGAACCTAGTATGGTGGTGGCTCCTTGTAGACTCCCAAGTCTCCTGAATAATGTGCAAAAATGAAACCGCCAGGAAATCCTACCTTTTGGGTAAATTGGGGAAAAGCCATTAGACTTCAATTGACAGCTGCTTGGTTCCTTCAACTGTAACCTTGTTGAGGAACAAAGATAAGGCAGCTATAAACGCAAGTACAGACCCATTAGAGCTATGGACACTTTGAGCCTCCGGAAGCTGGTTATCCTGCACTGTTTTCGGGGCTACTTTACACTGTAATTACTACAGTCCCTATGGACTGGTGGATGAGAGCTTTACTGCTTGCATTTTCCACTGCCTCTCTCTGCAGAAGTGTCAGTGCTAATACTAACCAGGACTGGGGAGGAAATGCCTTAGCTTGGGTCATTACCTCCATCCATGATCTTTCCTGAGAAGAACAGACAAACAGCTGCAGGGGTCAGTACAAACTGGGCTACTTTTGTGCAGCTTGACTTTCTAATTTGTTTCACAAAGCTCGGGGCACACTTAGTTTCCTGCTAAATACCCAGGCTGTTTCAGTTGGGAAAGACTGTCTCATCTTACCTTAAATTATTAGCACCGTATGTACGTATTTGTATGGACAACTTAATTACCTTATACCACGGGCATTAATTTACTTCTAAATAGGGACAACACACATTCAGAAACCCATAGGAGAGAAAGAGATTACTAATAAAATGAATAGACTGAGCGTAGTCAGTTATTTATGGTCGAGGACGTATTTTAAGTATTTAACTGTCAATTTGAAATGGGTACCATTCAGTTAGAATAGATGCCTGGCCATCTTGAACTAAAGTCCACAATACCCATCATAGTTGTTTCCCTATATACAGGCTGTTAAGTAGCACAAGGTCACATGATTCATTATAATGACACTTCTTATGACAGTGGTTCTCAACCTTCCTAATGCTGTCACCCTTTAATACAGTTCTTTATGTTGTGGTGACCCCACACAATAAAATTATGTTTGTTGCTGCTTCATAACAGCAATTTTGCCACTGCTATGAATCTCAATGTAAATATCTGATATTCAGTATATCTGATATGTGACATCTGTGACAGGGTTGTCCACCTCTCAAAGGGGTCGGGACCCACAGGTTGAGAACCACCTCTTATGCACCGTTGTCCTGCCAAGAGAAAACCATTTGAAAATGGTCTTTAGAGGCCCATCTGATGGCTTTAAAAATAAGCAGTCGAGCCAATCTCTACGTACAGGGAAATTATGTAGGACATTTGTGACTCTGCTGCCTCATGCACCCCCTGCCTGCCTTCTGGAAGACAGAGGGTATTAATTATCTACCAGCATCGTCGCAGTAATGGCTCCTCTACCTTTGCCGCAAAAGGCACCGAAGTAAACACTGTACGGCTAAGGATAACTCAGTGTTTAGTTCAGGTGCTTGGCCTCCAGCCCATGAAGCACAAACAGTGATAGCCTGTTAAACTCCCAGGGAAGGAAATCAAGCAGCTTGTCCAGTAAGTCTGTCTTTGAGTCTCAAGTCAAATAAAAGTTGACAATTCCAAACGCCTCCATGAAGACTGTCTATAACGAAGCTAACATTGCGAAATTGACAAGGAGTCTAGCAATACACCTCACCTTTCTTGGCTTCCTGGCCAGAGCCCAGGGCGGCCGTGGTGGTCGGTCTGAGCTCAGAGCTGCTCTGAGGGGTCACGTTTGCTTTGGCTGGGTTGGCTTTGCCTTTCTTGTCATTTTTGGAAGTGTCACTGGGCACATCTGCTATGTCACTCTGCAACAGAAACATCTCTGGTGACTGGAATGCATGCAGCTAGAAGCATCTTCACTTTAATGAGACCCTTCAGCTTCTCAGTCTTCTACTATCTTTAAAGATCTTTATCTGAAGCTAGGCTGAGTGATGCTCACCTTTAATCTCAGCACTAAGGAGTCAGAGGCAGGGAGATCTTTATGAGTTCAAGGCCAGCCTGGTCAAGTTACTGAGTGAGTTCCAGCTGAGGTGAAATCACATGACCTTGTCTCAAACAAAACAAGAGAATCTCTTTGACTAAGAGGACTAATTATGTTGGACAAAAAGATCTAGACAAGGACACACAATTCAACTCCTTTTCCAGCAGGACGTTTTCTAGCTGCTAGAGACTAGCTGAATATGCTCCAACCTGAGCAGTCTAGTAAAGGAACACTTAAACAGAGAAACAGACCTAGGGAATGCTGGAATGCGAAGACAAAGAGATGAGTATCTAGTAATAAATGCCACTTTGATTAACGCACTGAATTCAGTTATTGGGCATTTCATCCTTGATTATAATTCCTAATGGAGAGTCCCTATTTTATTTATAATGTAACAGGTATCCCCAGATGTCTCACTGGTGACTAAAAGGCTCTTTCTGATGGTGGCCACGTTTTATAAAATGTGCTGCATTTTGTAGCCCCTTCAAACTACTATTAGATTGATAAGCTTGGTTTTGAAAACCGTTGTAAACTTCCTCAATCACCTTTATCTTGTTTTTCAGCCACTGTTTGGAAACAAAGCCCCCCAAACCAGACCGTCTTTAGCCCACAGTTTCCACTTACAGTTTCAATGCCCATAGCTCTCATTTGGTCGGCTCTCTTTTCCGTGATTGAAAGAAACTTCTTTGGGTCAGATAGAGCATCCACAATATCTGAAAAACAACCAGTGAACTATAAATGTTCTGTTGAAATGAACACATCAAGAAAATGCAGCTAAATTCTCAAGATGCGGCTGTGAAACACAGTTAGTTATAGATAACAAAAATAAGAAAAAGTGAGAGTCAGCACCTGGACAACTTTCTCTTCTCCCCCAAATGACAAGGCCAGGGTGTCGGGCTATCAGAATGAATTTCTAGGGATCCCATTTTTGGTTTTGGTTTTTTGAAGCAGAGTCTCAAGCTGTTGTTTATTCTCCTAACTCACCTTCCAACTGTCGGAATCACAGACATGAGTCCCCGTGCCTAGCTGCCAGGGGATGCTGACTCATTTATTTGTATAAATTTAGCAAGATGATTAATGAGATGAGCCTAAGTTTCTCCTTCTGTAGGTTAGAACTCCGATGGCCTTCCCTGAACAGCTACTGGTGAACTCGAAGCAATGATGAACACAAGGATATGAGATGTACAACCTAGACACTGAACAAACAGCATGGGCCAGTACCATTCTAATATCAAAATCACATAAAGACACAATAAAAGAGAAAAACCACAGGCCAATATCTGATGAACATAGTTTCAAAAATGCTCCATTAAATATTAGCAAACAGAATACAGACATGCACCAACAAGATAATCACCATGATCACGTTGGCTTTATATTGAAATGCAGAGATGGTAAACAGATGCAAGTCAATAAATGTAATAAAGCATATAAATGGGCCTAAAGACAAAAAAAACATGATAATCTCAATAGAGGCAAAAAAAGCCTTTGACAAAACCCAATATGTCATCATGATAAAAGTCCTAGAGAGAGAATGTCAGCCTAGAGGGAAGAGACATCAATATAATACAACCATATATGAGAAACCCACAGCCAACAGCATCCAAAATGGAAAATAGCTTTAAGTAATTACACTGAAGTCCAGAAAAGATAAGGCAGTCCCCATCCCCTCTCCTTTTCAACACTGTGTCTGAAGTACTAGCTAAAGCAATTAGAAAGAGACGAAAAGTAAAAGGATGCAAATAGGGAAAGAAGTCAAACTATCCCCATCTACAGATGATATGATTCTATATATTAAAGATCCCAAAAACTCTACCAGAAAACTTCTAAAAATGATAAACAAATTCAGCAATGTGGCAGAATACTAAATCAACTTGCACAGAAAAATACCAATAACAAATGCACAGAGGAGGCAATCACTCACCCAATCACAATAACCTCAAGAAAAAAACAATATCCTGAAATCAGCTTAACCAAGGAAGTGATGGACCTCCACAAACAAACCTTTAAAATCTTTATAAAGAGATGAGAAAGACAGAAGAAAAACTTCCTGTAATCATGGATTGGTAGAATTAAGTGCAAAATCAACCATTTTACCAAAATCTATTTTCAGATTCAATGCAATCCCAATAAAAATCCCCATCTTAGTCTTTACAGAGGTACAAAAACTATGTTAGAACTCAAATGGAACCATCAGTGACGCTGGAGAGCAAAAACAACCCTGAGCAGAAGGAACAATGCTGGAGGGACTGCAATTCTAGACCTTAAGATATATTACAGGGCCTCAGTGGTAACAATAATATGGTTCTGGGACAAAAGGAGACATGTAGACCAATGGAGCAAAGCCAAAGACTGTTGGGGAATATTATTTGAAGGTGTGTGACTTTTGTTTATGCTTCATTTGTTTAATTCTGTGAAGCTGTGATTCTTTGCCTGTCTAAAACACCTGATGGTCCTAATAAAGAGCTAAACGGCCAATACTGAGGCAGGAGCAAGGCTAGGGAGGCTGGCAGGCAGAGAATATAAATAGAAGGAGTACTATGGAAGAGGGATGAGAAACAAGAGAACAACGGAAGGAGGATGCCAGGGGTCAGCCACCCAGCTACATAGTCAGACAGTCAGAAGTAAGAAAGATAACAGCCCAGAGAGAAAAGTAAGATGGGATAATTTAAGTCAAGAAAAGCTGCTATAAAAAAGCCAAGCTAAGGTCAGGTACTATAATTAAGAATAAGCCTCTCTCTCTCTGTGTGTGATTTATTTGGAAGTTGGTGACAGGCCCCCAAAAGAGTAAAAGCGTAAAGACTGAAACCACTACCAGCAAAAGATCAGAACATGAGCACACATAATTTCAGCCCTGTGATTGCTGACAAAGGTGTCAGAAACGTAAGTGGGAAAAAGAAAGCGAAATTAGACCCATATCTATTACCTCACACACAACACTCGCGTCCCCAACTCCCTGTCTACACAAGTTTTAGAATGTGAAGTCACTTATAAGTAGGCTACTGGTATTAATTTCAGTTAAAGATAAAAATGGAATCATTCTGGATTAGCAGAGGGGTATCCTAAACTTAGTGTCAATGATGAGTGTCCTCCTATAAAGAGGAAAATCCAAAACTCATGGTGAGAGTTTTCTTTAAGAGAGTAGCTTCTGATAAGTCAACCAAGGTCCATAGGAAGCTCGCACATCCAAGGCTATCTGGACAGTACAAACTGTATTTGAAGAGTTTTAATAAAAGGAGGATTCAAAGTTGGATGAGTAGGGAAAGGGGTGGGTCTTGGAAGAGTTGGGGTAAGGTGGGTGAAAATAATCAAAACACACTGTACGACAGTGAAAACCAAAACAGAAACCAGATCATGCCCACTAATATACATATTCTCCACTACACCAATGCACGAAGCAGCACAAAGACCTGAGCAGGAGCTGAGCAGAAGGAGCCACTCTGACTGTGCATCAAGAACAAAAACCAAAACATCTCTCCTTGGGTTCAGTGGTTAGGAGCACTTGTTGCTCTTGCAGAGGATCCAGGTTCAGTTTCCAGCACCCAAATAGTGGATTACAACCATCTGTCTGTAACTCTAGCTCCAGGGGGTCTGATGCCTTCTTCTGACCATGCACACATGTTGGACACATACATGTAAACAAACAAAGTACTCATACATATAAAATAAAATAAATCTTAAAAAATACACCTTTTCTACTTCATAAGCTAGCCAATGTAGGGTGTTTAGTTACAGTAAAGGGAAATAAAGCAAGAAACCACTATTAGTGTTATTTTTCTGTGCAGTTGAGTGATTGTATTTTAGTAGCGAGGGAAGCAATTTCAACAAAATCTCTACTTCTATTTCCTAAGGTTTGGGGTGGCAGAAAGGTGAGGAGGGAAACAGGGATTCATGTGAATGGAAGAAAAGCAGGGTTAAAAACTGAGCTGTGGACCTATCTGGTGCAGGAAAGAAGCTGGGTCAGCCAGAGTTCACGGTGTCTAAGAAGCACTAGATACATATGGGGGCGGGTGGGGGAGGGGCAGGGCTAATCATGAACAATCGCGCATAGCTAAGTTTGTCATCTGTGGGAATCCACCACCACAGATAGCTGACCTGTAGGAGCCTGCCTGAGCCTAAGCCTAAGAAAGGGCCCAAGCTTGGAAAAGACTCAAGAACATTTTCCATAGTTTTATATATATAAAAAAGATTCCGCCCACATGCTAGGACTGCAAATGAGAATACACTTAAAAGCCATGCAGAACATAGCGCTGACACTGCCAACGCTCCAAGTTCAGAAACTTCGCAGTGGGTAGGAATTAAAAAGATTTTTGTTTCCTCCTCAGGATGCTGAACTGCATAAAATATAATTATTTCCTATGCTGTTTTATGTAAAATACAGGGTAAGTTTGGGCGATGATCCTACAATCAACAGATTTTTCTTTAGGGTGCTAAAACTAAACAAATTGTCTACAAGCAGGGTGTGGTGGTACACACCTGCACTCTGAGCTACTTGGGATACTGAAGAAGGAGAGTGCATGCTTAAGACCAGTTAAAGCAACTTAGAAAGACCCTGCCTGGAAAAATCTCCATGGTGCAATGCTTGTCTAGCATGTATGGGTAATAAAAAGAGTTGGGGGAAAGAAAGAGAGGGTAAGAAGAAGAAGGAGGAGGAGGAGGAGGAGCGGAAGGAAGAAAGGAAAAAGGGAGGGAGGGAAGGAGGGAGGAAGGGAGGGAGGGAGGGAGGAAGGGAGGCAGGCAGTGAGGGCAGGGAAAGACTAGAGCAGTTCACTCTGGACATAGGACTGATGAGTGACCCTTACTGCATGTAAGCATCTCTCTCTGATGTCCACTCTAGCATCTTATCTATTATGGAATAACCTTATCGTATGTACTTACAGAATGAACCACTGAGTTCACATAAACTGTCTTTAGCCATATAAACTTCTTTTTATTATGGTTTTTTATGAGCATTAGTATTTTGCCTGTGTGAGGGTGCTGGGTCCCCTGGAACTGGAGTTACAGTTGTGAACTGCCATGTGGGTGCTGGGAATTGAATCCAGGTCCTCTGAAAGAGCAGTTAGTGCTCTTAACCACTGAGCCATCTCTCCAGCCCAAAAGGTTTTTTTTTTTTTTTTCATTTTTTTTATGAGGCCAAATAAACTTCCAATGATGTATATAGCCACTTTTTTTTTGTTTCCTTGATGGTACAGTTTCATTTGAGCTTGTTGTCCTTATGGAATAAAGGAGAACATCAACATACTAGGGAACATGCCTGACTGTACAGGCACACTCTTAGATGTAAATGCAGGAGGTTAACTAGACACCAGACAAAAACACTGTGAAGTCAGGATCGGAAATTCAGAAAAAAAGGCAATCTCCATATTCACCCTATGTTCTCCTTTGCGAAAACCACTAAATCTCCAGTGTCTTCCATTGGTATCTCCACGTCTCTGAGATGACCAGAGGGCTAAGGATGCCATAGTTGAATATCAAATCTGAGATTAAGACGCTGACTGCAGAACCTCAGTCCTGAGATTCCCAGCAAACTGGTGGAAAGGCGGCGGGTTTGCACAATATTAAATGCTGGCCTGGCAGATGCCACATTACAAATGCAAACATTTCTCAGCACAGACCTGCGCACACCTACACCCTTGCAGATGGAGTCCACATTTTGAGGCTCTCTTTATTTAAGTGCTTGGCATAAACCAAGAGCTCAGCAAATGATTTTTTTTCCTTTTTCTAATAAAACGGCTCATTTCCCAAGAAGAAATTAGAGTTTCATTTGAAATGTGGCCCATTGCAAAGGAAAAGCTTTAAAAAGTTTTTTTTTTATCAAATGGGTTTGTATGACATTTTCCACAATGTAATAAGTATTGATTGCCCTTTGATTTCTGTGCGTGTTTGTGTGTGTGTGTGCGCGCGCGCACACACGCGTGAGTGTGTTCAAGTGTGCTGCATGCTTGTGTGGTGTGTGCTCATGTGTGGGCATCTCTGTATTTGTCCTGGGGCCACAGGGAGAGCAGCGGACTACTCCATCACCTTACCTTACAGCTTTGGGGCAAGTTCTCTCATTGAGTCTGCAGCTAGGATGGTGACCAGCAGGCCCTAGAGGTTCTCTTGTTTCCCTCCTCCACAGACAGTTACAGAGCACCTGGGGCTATGGCCAGTTATGGCCAGCTATTATATGGATGCAGGGACCTGAACTCAGGTCCTAATATGTGTGCAGCAAGCACTTTGATCCACTATCTCCACAGACCTGTTTTCTACCTCAAACATGGAATTCCCTATTTTCTACCTCAAACATGGAATAGGATTCTTTCTGGCCTCCAGTCCACAGCTGTGTCTGTGCTGCTGGTCACTCTGGAGGGTGGTATGACCTGGACTGCAGCCTGAGAACACATCTGACAGACTCCTGTCTCGCTCCCTGACCCATTTTCCCAGGACCATGGCCTTGCTCTAGCTGCTTTGATGGATTCCTTGTCTGTTTCTGTATGCTGCTGCCTCCAATTTCTGCCTTTTTTTTTTTAATGACAAGCAAAGGGTACAAATAAACAAATAATTCCTGCCTCTGCCTCCTGAGTGCTGGGATTAAAGGCGTGCGCCACCACTGCGGCGGATCTCTGTGAGTTCAAGACCAGCCTGGTCTACAAGTGCTAGTTCCAGGACAGGCTCCAAAACCACAGAGAAACCCTGTCTCGAAAAAACCAAAAAAAAAAAAAAAAGAAATAATTTCTACCCATTCTGAGTGAAACTCTCCTGGCTTAGTTTACTTTTTGAACCTATAATCTATCATGTTATTAAAACTGAAGGTTAGTTACATAAAAGCTGCCCACCAGAAAAGCATGAATTCCTAAGAACAATAAACCACCCAACCTTATTCCCTCAATAAAATAATGTATAGTAAGGGAATTTCATTCTGTCAGTGGACATACACCCATATTCATGTACATTCTGTGTGGGTGTAGATGGGATTGATGTTTCTATGTGTCTAAGCATATACGTAAACATGCTGAAAGAGGCCAGAGGTTGACATGGGGTATTTTCCTCAATCACTCTTGACCTCATTTATTGAGACCAGAGTCTTTGCTTCGAACAGAGAGCTTGCCAATCTGGCTAGCTTAGCTAGGCAGCATTCTTTGAGGGTCCCCAGTTTTACTTTTAGAGCGCAGGAGGACTGCCATGATGATCTAGCATCACAAGCACCCACATTTTGAGCCTTGCTAAGTTATTCTCTGTATTATTAGGATGTGAGCTTTCCTAGAATGCTTAGAGGGAGGGAGAGTGTCATACTACCTTCATTTTATTGGTGAAGGAAAGTCAGAATGGTTCTACTGAGATTGCGAAACCACCAGCCAACCACTTAGAACTGGGACTTGAACCCCTGGCTAACATGATACAGCTACATGCTGCCTGTTTCCTGTGATCCAAAGATGTCGAAGCTAAGAAGTTTTTCCCTTCCTTATAATGTTACACCAGCTTACTGGAGGCCATGTAGAGTCTACCTAGGTAGTTGTAAGCAAAATCCTAGGACATGGTCTAGTGTGGGTTCCTACCATTGTTCTTCTTAGTAAAGGAGACACAGACCTTTTGTGAAAGTGAACTCTCTTATGGGCTTGCCAAGAAAATTCAAGCACATTAGTAACTGAGTTCAACAAATCTTTCAGTGATAATAACTGATAAGATACAGTCTCTTACAGTTGCTTTGCTCACTTTGATTGACAGTATCATAAATACTATTTTCATAAAGCATTTGTAAGATGTTAAATAATGTATAATTACAATATTTTGAAATAATACCTGAGGAAATGTCACTTGCTTTCCTCAAAGCCACCAGCATTCTCAGCACAGAGAGGAAAACACATAGTCACTTTTATTGTTTTCAGGAATGGGCAAAATGATTCACAGTCTTGTGACATAGGACCTCGTCTGCATTATAGTCTGTATCAGATTTGTCTTACCTCCAAACCCATCAGGCACATATGTTTTAAGAACAATATTGCAGAAAATTGTTGGCAGTGATAATGGTTTGTTCCCCTCATTTCTTAGGGAGATGTGTCGGTAGCCTGCTTGGAGGCCATCCAAAGGAAGGATTCGCTGGCCAATCAGCTTGTTGTTGTCATCATACACCGCGATTCTCAGGACGGCCAGGTCAGGCAGGATCACCTGCAATTACAAGTTTGGACATTTCATTGTTTATTGCAATAAGGCTCCCAAGAACTATGACTCCAGGATTTGGGAAAAAACCAATACTGCTCCTTAAATGCCTCTTCATGATGAAACAAACCAATGAGCTACTTGCATTCCTAAATATTCAGCATAAGATCGATGCCCAAGATACCAATAAGGCAATAGGTGCAGGTATTTTGGAAGTCACCTCCTTAAATATGTTAAATGAATGAATGTCAAAGACTGCAGCTCCAATTCTTGTCATTTTTCCCCCATCTACACCCAACACAAAAACAGAGACCCAGAACAACTGAATGGTTTTTCTTCTGTTAGAGTTCATCAGTGGAGCCTGGGCTTGCGACTCGACTTCTAGTCCTGTTTGTCTGCCACTTGGGCTACTTAGAGCATTTAGTTTTTCTTGGCTTTAAGAACATGAAGAGTGTTTTTGAGGGAACACTTCAAGTATAAAACAAAATTCATGTGCTAATTTTCATTCTTCATGTGAAGGTAAGCCAGCCCAGCCACTATAGAAATCAGTATGGAGGGGCCTCAGAAAACCAGATGCATCACAGGACCTAGACACAGACTCCTGGCATTTACCCAAATGCCTCTAAGTGAACACACCACAGAGGGGACTGGCACATGGGTGCTCACTGCAGCCTTGTTCATCATGGCTAAGTTACACACCAACCCAGATGTCCAAAAGCAGAGGTCTGGAGCAAGAAAATGTGATAGACACACAGTGGACCTTTTCTCAGACACAAAGACAAGGCTATGTTGTTTACAGGAAATGAGGCAATGGTGATAATCACATTAAATGGAAAAAACTCAGCACTAGACAGACAAACATCGTACGCCTTTTCTCATGTGTGTGTCCTAGACTTTACACAGACACATGGAATTATGCTACACCTATATATATCCTGAAATGAGAAAAGAAACTATCCAGGGAAACAAAGAGAAGTACGGGGAGAAGGAAAGGGGAGAAGAGGACAAAGGACCAGGGTGTGTGGTGCACATGATCAGCACACATTATATGTGTGCGTGGCAATGTCCCGAAGCAACAGTCTACAGCGACAATGATAAAAATGACAAAGAAAACAAGCTGGATATTTGTTTATCAAAAAGGATACTGTCTGGGAAAAGTTTCTGACTTTCTACAAATGTGTGGGGATTATTCATTACAAGAAAGTATTTCTTCATGGCAGTAGTTGGGAAATGCAAGGAAGGGAAAAGGCACAACACAACATTCTATGCTGCACTGTGACAGGAGAGAAATGACAGTGGGGATGGGAATCACGATAGTATTCGCATCAGAGGCCATCCTCAGTTCAAAATGACCTGTTGTATCAGTGGATCTGGGAATCACAATAGTATTCCCATCACAGGGGAACCCCAGTTCAAAGTGACCTGCTGTATCAGTGGAGGTGGGAATAACAATAGTATTCCCATCACAGGGGAACCTCAGTTCACAGTATCCTGTTGTATCAGCCCTACTTTGGTTTCTCTCAGCCAGGCAGTCTGTTCTAAAATAAGCAGTCCCTATCTTGTCAAGAAGGACAGAAAACTGATTGTATTTATTTCATGACAAATGGATGAAGCAGAAACACCTGGAAAATCTGCGTCCAAAAAAGCAAGAAAACATTTTTGCTTGACAACAAACCAGGCTAGGGAAATCACCAGCATGTTGGAGAGATCTCTTCCTGTGTGCAGAGTTTTCAAAGCATCCTTAACTGAGGAGATGAAAAAATGACCACAAGATGTAGTAATATGAGCGGTGGGGCTGCGTCCCCAGCACCCCGGCTGCCTGGCTAGCTTATGCCCGAAATAACAACACACAAACTGTATTCATTTAATCATTGCTTGGCCCATTTCTAGGCCTCTTCTAGGCTAATTCTCACATATTAATTTAGCCCATTTCTAATCATCTGTGTAGCGCCCCAAGGTGCGCTTACCGGGAAGATTCTAGCCTATGTCCATCCTGGGTCGGAGCTTCATTGCCTGGGAGCTGGGAGCATGGCGTCTCTCTGAGGCGTCTGCTCCCGAGAGGAGAGCTGTGGAGTCTGAGCTCACTTCCTCTTCCTCCCAGGGTTCTGTTCTGTTTACTCCTCCCACCTATCTTCTAACCAATGAGGGCCAAGCAGTTTCTTTTTATTTAACCAATGACCTTCCTCCATCAACAAGAGAAGATGGCTGCTCGCTCTCAGGACCTGGCAGACAGAACTGGGAGAAGACACTGAGGCCCTGAAAAATTACGTGCAAAAACCAAAACCAAAACTGAGCAGTGGTGTTTCATTACTGAACACAGCACTCACCCACGTCACAAAACTGACCTTAGTTTTGTTGTAGCTTTCTGTCCAACCTTTGCACTACCAACCCTTCAGTGTGTGATGACAGCCACCATGACCTTGAGGTATATTCTCCCTGACTGAAGGTGGCCAAAAAGGGGGCAGAGCTAAAAGAGTCAATTTGTTAAGCACAATCATAAGACAGGGACAGAAGTGTCCTATTAGATGACTGAAGGAAGTAAAGAGGGGTGGCGAATGGCATTCCTCTATCTTGTGGGTTCCATGCGGAAAATCGGCCTCTCTGGTTTCTGAGGAACAGTGACACACAGCTAATGCCCTACCTTCCGAAACACGAACGATTCTTCATTGTAAACTGGGTTGAGTCCATTGTTCATAACCATGCGAGTCCGGAATTCCTTCCGTATGGTGTCGGTAGGCAATCCATACATGTCTACTTCCACGTATGTGCCGATCTTCTTATCTGATAGGAATTGCCCTGATATAACCTGCAGTAACACAGACACAGGGTGGGTGAGCAGTGGCCACTGTGTGAGCACTGGTGACAAACTGTAAGGAAGAGCTGAAAATTTTTGTTTGGGGAATTTCGATTAATATGAATATTTGATCTTTTCTCGGGAATTTTCTGTATTAAAACAAAGCATTTTGGAGAAACTATTCTTTGGAAGTAAAAGTTCTTAGGTAATATCCTCTAAATATGTCCTGAAAAAGAGCAGGAAATGAACATGCACAATATCCTATGACGAGGTCATGCCCTCAGCATGGTTTTACCACCCAAGTCTCTAGATCTGTGCAAAGAAGCAAAGGCTGTGGATATGCCCTAAGATCCCTTCTGGTTCTGGGCTCCTAGAAGGCTATAAACTAACTCCTGAACTCTTCTAGAAGTCTTGAAAAGAAATACAGCAGTAGAAAATCAGTGCTAGACTTGGCCTGCTAGTCCTTAGTGATATCAATGGTGGCTAGCAGTGAGAGTTGTTCAATTGTAGAGATCAGTATTAAATTTTATCTACCTTAAAGCTGGGAGTAACTTTATTTACATTTACTTTCCAAACAAGTATGCCCTTCATTTATTTATTTATCATTTTATCTAATTTTGAAACAGCTTTTTGAAGTATAATCAATACATGCTAAACTATATGCATTTGATATGAGCACATGTCTTTAAAACTACAGTGAGGGAAACAAGCATTTATAGCACTTCCATGTCTAGCTTTTTTGTGCTTTATGATAATCTGCCCCTTTCATCAGTGTCCAGAAACAAGCACTGATTTGCTTCCTGTCATCATAGCTTAGTTATTTTTTTAAAGAATTCTATATGAATGCAATCAGGTAAGAGATACTTTCTGGATGGTGGATTTCACTTAAAGTTGCTCATAAATTTAGTAGTGAAAACTCAGAATACAGCAGAAATTAAGTCCACATTGAGAACTATGTACAATTCTTACAATGTGATGCTAAACATTTTGACTCTCATTTTCTTCTGGGTGCGTTTGCACATGGATATGTGTTTGCAGAGTCTGTGATGAGCAGGAGCATACCTGTACTGAGCATGTGGCTGCAATAACCCCATCCACAGGGGTTTCAGAGAAGGGATCAAACGTCCGGTCAGGCCGCCTCATGAAATCTGGCTTGAGAAGGTACCTGGCAGGACAGAGGCACAGGTGTTTATTCTACTGGTGGCTTGTGCAATGGCTTAAATACCAGAACTTCCTTTCTCTCTTCCATAACTCAGGAGCTAGACTTTCAGGCAGATTCTATGGATTAAAGACAATGGCCGTGACCTTTGGGGACTCCTGAAGAGCAAACACTAGGCAGCCAACACAGGCCACATGTGCTGTGTCAAAGACGAGAAGATTGTTTCTTTGCTTGATCAACGGAGAGTGTACTGACAGAGCTGTCTCCTTTGACCAAAGGTTTGGTTGGTTCCTGAGTCCTTTTCCATTTGGCTAAATGTTAGTCTCTTTTCCTTATAGAATGGATGCTGAACAAGACTCCTGCACAGATTCCTCAGGATGGGTAAGCTGTTGGTGGGGTATGGGCACTCTGGCAAACATTATCTGTCACACAGGCACAGGAACGGAGTGTACAGATGGGGGAGTTGTTTCTAATGCACAACTGTTGAAAGCCTGTTATCTCGCCTTGTTTTCCATGGTTGAGATTAAAGTATCCCACTACTCAAGTCACCACAAAGCTCCTAGACAGCATCACCACAGGACGGCACGGGATTCCTGTGCATCCATCTATGGGCCACTGTGCTCTGATCTTGGCTGATCTTTTAATCATTGCAGAATCTGAGTTCTGTACTTTCATTTAACTTCAGAAGAATTAACATTTCCTATTCTGCTACTGGGTTCACAGATTTTTAAGTGTTATTTAGGTAAAATAGAACAACATTCACATCATTATATAACCGCTATTTATAAGCCTGCAAGAGAATCCAGAGAGGATGAACATTTATTTCCGGAAGAATTAAATTCAACTTTACACCCACAGCTTCATTTGAAATGAAATTTGCTTCATTGCTATATTCCTCGGCAAGAAAGCTATACATATTTGATGCCCACATCTCTGGTTAATGCCCCGATGAGCATGCCCCACTGCCTATTTCAGACACAAAAATATCCGCTATTGAATTTAGAATTAAATGATCCAACTCTTGAGTATATATGAGGGACTGCATAGTTTGTGGTTAAAAGAAAACCAGCTTAACAACATGAGACAGATCAAAGTTGTATATCTGTAAATATAATCTACCTAGAGACTTCACTTGTTTCTATTTCCGCTTCAGAACCAGCATATATTCAGCTGTTCCTAGTTTAAAATGACATAGTTTCATTAAAGCTGAAGCAGGGTGTCCTGAAAGTAGCTGGTAACAGTTTAAATAATATTACTCACCCGCAGGATCCATTATACTCAAATTTTCCCTGATTCAGTTGCATCGCTAAATCTGTCAAAAGACAAACATAATTTAGGATCTCATCTCCTTGGATAAAGAAGGTCCTGACAGGGTAACTGGGAACAATGGAAGCCATATTATTCCCAGGTTCAGAAGACTGCTACTGGCTTAGTTTAGGGCCCATGACTCTCTTCCAAGTTGAAATGATCTCATATTTGATTTAAAGTACACACTGAGTATGTTTTCCTAAAGGTCACCCTAGAACTGCTCTGCAGAGTGGATTGGGTACAGGAGTCAGATGATGTTTAGTTGATGCTGAGAGTAGAGATGTACAAGCCGCTGCAGTTAGGGAATGGGCAGCAACTCAGTGTCACAGGAGGCAAGGATGCTAGAGCCACCAGAGGGCTATTAAGAACATAAAACATGATTAAAAGGAACATAAAATCATCTGGCTAAGCATCCCATAAAATTTGGCGGCTTATCTGTATGAGACCTAAAATTCTTCTCATAGGGGTACCCTGGGAGGGCCTGAATTAAAAATTTTCTCTTGTACACAGAGAAACTTTTGCTTTTTTTTTTCTCATAATTAAACTCAAACGTTCTTCTCAGAATAAAATACACAGTTGCTCAAAACATGAACTGCTGTAGGAGCATGCTGTCCCTCATTGTGAGTTCATGGGATTCTTAGACCACAGCTTGAGTCACTGGTAAGGAAAAGCAGTGGCATCATTTGGTTTCAATCCTGATAATAATAATAATAATAATAATAATAATAATAATAATAATAATAATAATAATATGAGAGATTCTATCAGGACCTGCATCCAGACTCTTCTAGAGAGGACTGTTGGGATTCTAAGCAGGGATGTATTTCTAAGGAACTCTGGCCACCAGGGAGGTTCTCCCGGAGGTAAGAAACACAGCCAGCTCATGTTCATGCCAAAGGGAGGCAGGTGAGCCCGGATCAAGGAGAGGAAGTTGCACAGGGGTCCTCAGAGGAGATGCCTGAGAAAAGGAAGGAAATGGCTCCAGTGCTGGCAAGTATTGGGAGGTATCCTCTTAAAGCCAGGGACTATGTATTTTACTTTTATCTTTGTTTCAACCAATTTTAAAATCTATGCCAAAGAATGTATCATATAAAGTGAACATGGTTTGTGCCTTTTGTCTATTTTTGTGTCTATTTTTATTTCACTGTCTGTAGTCACAGGATTATGACCAGAGGCTCCTAAGCAAACTTCAGAAATCTGTACCTTTATCAAAAGTTACTCCTTTTAGGGAAAGAAGAAAAAGAGTCACTGTGTATTGAAGAGCTGTCCACAAATATACTTTGGAGGACCAAATTACAGTTCAGCACCTGGGACAACATCTAGCTCTTCGTGTTGCATCTTACAGAGCTTATGGTGTAAGTCTGTGGTGTCATGGTGAAATGCTACCACCATCAATGTTTGCTGAATGGCCACAGTGGCCAGAGCACTTTCCCAAGGGGGAAGAAAAATCTCAGTTACCACACAAAGACACGCAGACTCTTCTCACCAAATTCCATCTAGAAACAAAGACACAACCTTGACCCAGAAGGAAGAATAATTAGAAATATTTTAGAATTGGAACTACCATTTGGCAGCTTAGTCATGGCATTGATGAAAGAGATTAAATTAAAATATTATCTTCTATTATGGCTTCAATGGGGTTTTAATGTTTTACCATAATATAAAGCCAAGAAAACAATGTTTTGCCACATGAGAGCTTCTAAAAAATAAAAAAAGGAAAAACTGCCTCAAGCGAATGGAGGCAGCTGCAAGGCTGCCCTGTCCCAGTGTTCTTGTGGAATTTGGGGTCACTGGACATTAGCTCCTACCTGGGGTTTGATAGTTCAGTGAAACCATCTGGCAACCAGCGTTCCAGAAAATCTGAGGCATGTAATTACTGGAATCAACTCGGCCTCCCTTGGGGTAAATGCGGCTCATTTGTCGCTTATTGTAACTGGGTAACTTATTAAGGAAATCCAGAAGCAGCCTAGACAAACATAACAAAGAACTAACACAGTGGAGGTGTGGGACAACAATGACACACAGGTAGATAACACAAGACAATTCCCATTGTCAATGGTGCTCAGAGGAAGATCACAGTCGCAGTGTGGAGTCTAGAAATTATTCACATCCAGGGAGGTCACCACAGCTGCCAGGGTTTTCTTTCACACACATAATTTTATCAGCGTGACAATAAAAATTATACAAAAACCCTAAATATTAAAATTACAAATAGCTGCTAAACTCTTGTAAAGCCCCCTGCTGCTTCTAAGGAGTACCATCCATCCCATTTAGTACATTAGGATACTTTACAAATTCAATCGCGTGTGTCTTCAAGTAGCCAAGGCCAACTGACTCGTTAAAAGAAGACATGTTATAGTGAATATTGCGCTCTGTAAAAGAAAAACAAAGATATACTCAGAAACTCAGTCACCGAACCCCTAAAAAAAGCAAGCAGCCGATACAATCACACCCTGAGCCTTACACCCCAAATCAGGAATTGTTTGTGGCCTAGTCTACACATCTGTGCCAGTTGCTCTGAGTTTCATTAGTACTCTGTGCAAATGGTGAATTAAATGTATAATAATTAAACAAACGGTATGTACCTCAGTCACTGCTGAGATATGTAGTTGTTGAGAATAATGGAGAAAGATAATGATAGTCATCTTGGAATAGATGTTATGTGCCGCAGAATATCAAATCTTATTCCCCCTATCTCAAGGCTACATTGTACCCACTGGCTAACTTTGCTTTCCTGCAGTCAGAGATTACACAATATACACACACAGGAATCAAGACGGATACCGTGCTTCTTAAGTATTACTAATATAATTTGCCATAACAAAGTAAATAAAGAAGCCCATGAAAGCATATGGAAAGCTACAAGCTCACAAGTCATGGTCTTCCACAGCCACCTTGTGGCTGATGCAGAGAACGACAGCACAATGAACCAAGGAAAAGGGCAGTGAGTCAGGCGAGAGCCAGTCAGTGTTAACAGAGAAGCAGGCAGAAAGCTATTGCATTTAACCTGTAGTGTTACCTTCAGCCACATGGAAACCTTGAAACTTCACAGGCTGCGCGTAGTTGATCATTGTGGACAAGTATGGATGGATATTCGTGGTAGCACCTACGTATTTATAAGATGCCATCCATGCCTGCTCATCTTCTACAGTGACCAGGCCCTGTGAACACAAAAACACGCCAGTTTAAGTTGATGGCTTCAAGGTGGACTCATAGATTTTGCCTTAGGCATTAGAAAGCATTTGCATATACGCAGATTCAAATGTAAAAGACCTTGCTGCTCTCTTAAAGATTAAAATTCATAGGTCTACTTAATGCAGAAGGAGGTAGCTGGAAGACAACCATCTTATCTGTTAGATTTTTCAAAGGGCTTCAAAATATTCAAGAGACTGTACTGGGGTCTCATGGCAACACTGACAATGGTAGTCATATCACCATTCAAACTGATGCACAAAGCTCAAAATGAGTGGCTATCCAGCATTTGGTGTACATCACATCACCCACAGGCTATGTAGCCACAAACACTTGGGTCCCACTGGAAGAGAGTGTTTAGGTGTTTTTATTGAAGTGTTTATTCATAAAAGAACTTCATAACTTGCTATATAGGATGTATTGCTTTGTACAGAGAAAAACAAATTCAACTACTTTATTTCTTAAGAGTGCAAAGCAAAATGAACACAATCAACAACAACAAAATAACGTCCCACAAGTGGTCAGGTTTTGCTTGTTGTTATTGTTGTTGTTGAGAACTCTGGAGTTATTTTCCTTGAGGAGACTCAACCTAGGAAGAGAAATAGCTTATGCACAGAATGAGTAAGCAATGGTCAGTAAGATTATGTTTTTATCTTCGCTAATGACTTAATCTTTGAGTCTTTTACCTGCATTCACCTGTAAAAGCCTGTGATAGGTCATGTAAACATACAACTTGCTTTTGTTCCCATCTTTTTCCATATAGGCCCCCAACTCCAGTCCCTAGTATTTCATGCTTATAACCCCAGTACTATATGCTGGAACCATGACGGATTCCTGATTTGTTGCCTGTGGGGTCCTATTGCATTTGGACTGAACCCTTCTCTTCCTTTTGAACCTGAAGGGTTATTGAACTTATCACTGTGTATCATGAGGATCCCCACTAGTCACAGGACAAGACTAAAGCTCTGCAGACAAAAATCATTCAGTTAACACATGGCAAGCATCAAATGTGTCCGTCTGTGTATGGCTGGATGTATCATCTAATGAAAAGCCAGTCTAGGGACAGAGGGTCCTCAGAAACACAGAAAGGTGTTCCTGAATGCTGAAGAGTTAGGGAATAGGAAGAAGACATGTCACTCCAAATGCAACAGGGCCCCACACACAGCAAGGCAGGATTTCCTGTGCTCTGAATTATGACTGAGAAGCCAGGAACAAGGCAATTTTGTCTCTGTGATTGCCATCAGTCTCCACATTATATAATAAAACACATGCATAAATTTGAACACGGCAAACCTTGAGGAGGATAAAAGAAAATTAAAACGCAATATACTTTATTTTCACAATAAGGCCAGTGTCTGCTACCACTGAATGAAGACCCTGTAAGATATACAGTGTGAAGCTAGGCTTTCAGAATGTCGGCAGCATCAGAACCGATATTACTTTTCTTCTATGCTATGGTATGGCTCTGCTGCACTACAGGGCGTTTCTATTTTCATGTTCAATATGCTAATAATTATGTAACTTTCTTCTTTGACTGAAATCTCATGACGCACAAGGAAATACCTTATAGTATTAAATACCTACTTTTAGGGAAATTGGCTTACCTACCTTAGTTATGTTTTAAGTCAGATTTAACGGTTTAATTGCTATTATTTTTTCCTTTGAACTCATATAACTAGATGACTCAGACATGTCACTATTATACCTGTAAATACGACCCCTGACATTGCATGGGCTAGGAAGATTATCAACACCTAGTAGAAGATGCTAAGTATGAGAAGGTCACATGTGGGTGTTTCCTAATGAACAAATGCTTGAGAAGTATTCGGTTACCTTTTTGTTGTTTTCATGTTCAAGGTCATCTGAGGTCTAGATTAGAGAAAGAAAATGATTTGTTTACCTCTCTAACGGGCAAATTTCCAAACTCATTAGCCCATCCTTATGTAAGTAAGCATATGTAAACTTGTTATTCTATTTATTTTTTTATATGGTAAATTATTAATGCCATAAAGCCATCATCATCAAAATCAAATACTGCAGATATGCTAAGATTGCTGCCCTATACTTTGGAAGTTCTAATGTGGACACTTCCCTGCTCTCTTGACAGTCTTCACTTAGACACTTCATCATAACATTTTCACTGAGCATTATGGCATGAAGACTGAAAATGGATTACTAATGTGGCCACCTTCCCTTACATGTAAAGGGAAGCACAAATGGGCATTTTCAGTAAGCCAGCATTCATGTTTGTGACCCTGCCATGAACTCAATGTTTGTAGCCCCACCAAAACCATATGTGGTGAAACCCTAATTCGTGTGACAGATTATTGATGATACCCAACTTAAATGATGGTTTGATTTATGGTTTTTTGTTTGTTTTATGAGGGTGTGAAGTGATAATCATCCACTGGAAACTATTTTCAGTTTGATCATTTCTTGGCTAAGGATATACCGTTTGGTGTCCTCTTGTGATGTAGGACAGTGGCTCCTTGTCAGCCACATAATCCCTAGGGTAAATGGCCAGAACTCTACAGTAAACTATGTTGCTGAGCTATACTGTTCAAACAGTTAAATGTAACAGATGCATTTTAATTTATGTTTTCACCTTTTAGGATGAATTTATCATAATCATATTGTAAGTCAAGACACATCATAATTTGCAGATGGGGCCTATGGGAGGTAATTAGGTCACAGGGTGAAGTCTTCACAGTAGGGTTAGTGTTCTCATGAGTGATGTTAAGAAAAACCTTACTTACTTTCCCATTTTCTTTCCACAGTGGGAAGATATGCCGGCCAAGAGAGCCTTCAAGAACATATTGGTTAGCACCATGACCTTGGCATCCAACCCAGAAATCACCAAGAAATAAATTTTAGGTATCTGAACCAACCAGTCAGATATTTTTGTTATACTAGCCTAGGCTAAGACAGGACGGATGAGGAAACATTCTTGGGTCTTAGTGGCCATCTGTATTCTCAAAATACTCACAATTCCCTATGATCAGAAATGGATACTATTTCTTTGACTTTTCTATCAGACAAAAATAAATAAATCTATCTTACTACCATCAAACCCTCCTATCTACATCTTTGCCCACTGTTTTCACAAAGCAAACATCCCTACTCTACCAAGGACCATACCTCTACATCGCTATGATCTCATCTATGCTCATCTTCTCAAGGAGTTCCCAGGCAGCTGGTACTTCTCTCTCTCTCTTGCAATACCAGTGACTCCCTTTCCATAGCACTAAACATCATCCGGATTCTAAAAGAGCATCCCTTCCCTACCTCCCATTTCTTTCAGGCACCAGCCCATCACTTGTTCCTTTCAAAGCAAAGCTCTCAAAAGCAGAGACAATGCCTACTGCTTCCTGCCTGTCTGCTCCACTGTTCCCTTTACTCCAAGCATGCTACTGAAACTTCTCTACGACTTCCCAAAGACCTTCATGCTACCAATCTAGAAGTCTTCGCAGCCAATCACTCAAAATCATTCAAAGCCCAGAACCGTCCTCTTCCCATTGGTTGGCTGTTGGCAAACCCTGTTTTTCCTTCCTGCTTCCTCTCCTGTGAGCATGCGTTTGACTAGGACTCCACTTGGGCCTTCTTTTTCATCTCTCATGACTCATCTCTACTATTTCCAGGACTTCAAACATTATCTCTAAAACTTCCATCTCTTGCTCAACCTCTCTTCTAGATGCAGGTGCTGGTTGCATGAGTGAGGATGAGAATGTGAATGAGAACGAAAGAAATGCAGCATGGCAGAACTATACCACGTAGATAAGGCTACCATGCACGAGGCACCACTGCAAGCTCATTTAGTCTTTGGAGAGTACCTGATGAAACAGGCGTTAATACCCGCATTTTTCAGATAAGGAAGCGAAGGCAGAGAGAGGTTAAATAACTTACCCATGGTTAAACAGGACATGAGGCCAGGGAATCAATTCTTCTCTTGGTACTTCCACTGCAATAGCTTACAGACATCTCCAGTTGTCTGTCCCATTTGAAACTGGGGAGTCCTGTCTCACAGCATTCCCACTCCAGTAAGTGGTACCACTACCCTGTTCCTCTAACAAGGACTCCAGGAGGTCATCTTGCTTCTCATTCCTTCACCTTTACCATTGCTTATGTTCTTGATATGCCTTGGAACATTCTCCCCTCTCCCTTTCTAGTTCATTCACTAGGGGCTGTCTCTGACCAATTAAAAGCCCATCCTCAATATTTTCCACACTTCTGCCCCTGCTTCCCTTTAAAGGAGAGTCTACAAAGGGACTATCAAAGTCTTCTATTAGATCACACTCCCTCCCCCTTTTAAAGTTTTGTGTGAAACAAATTATGTTTCACCTAAGTTTTGAATTTCTCATAGAAACTTGCAAACTGCTAGAGCATTTAATTCCCTGATAGCGTGTCTCTGCTTCTTTCTCCCCATCCTTCACTCTACCTCACTCACGTCGTCTTTGCTCTTACTGCTGTCCTTCTGCGTGAGATTCCACTCTCCATTTCTCTGTGGAGTGAACTTATCTTTCCCTCCTGGATCTGGGCTCCTTCTTCCTGTCGCTTCATTCTCTCATTATTCTCCACTTTTGTACTTGTGTCTAGTTTAATGATAGTACTAGCTGAATCATACAATTACTTGACTCTTCATTCTCTATTTCCCACCCCTTCTCCTAAACAATGAGAGACCTACAGAAGCTACAAAAAGGCAAAATGAAAGTGTGTTCTGATCTGTTTATGACAGAGTGACCTATGCTCGGCACCTACCTAATAACATCCTTCTCTACCTTAATGGGTGGGAACTTTCTATACTTCTGTCAGGATGGTTTTCTCACCAGCTGGACCAGCTCGGTACCGAGGCCTGATTTGGAATGCTCGGGATTTATTCTCCTAATGGTTCCAGCAGGCTAACCTTTGGGTCTTAGATACAGTTTCCCTACCCACCAAGTATACTCAGTAAGTGGTGGTATTTATAAATGCCTGACCAAAATGGGGAGTGGGCAGTAGAGTCCAATCCTGCTCACACAGCAGAGAGTTTTGTCCTATATAATTAGAGGGAAGGCACAATATCTGATTCTGCCGTGGCTGTTACAGCCCCAAAATTCCACAAAAAACTGTCAGCCTTAAAAATCAGGAAGATTGGGACGCAAAGCCTCTGACCTTCTTGACACTGTTGGCAACTGCTTCCTTGTGACTGAAGTCATCAGCAGACAGTTCACTTCCAAATTTGTACTCAGGGTGGGCTTCTTCTTCTTGATCAGCTGTGTAATAGACAGGGGAAAAAAACCTATGAAGTCGACCTACTCCCAACGCTGCTTAACAGACAGGAAAACAAGCAAAAACTATGAAGTCCCAAACAGTCAGACCCTGGCCTATAAGCCCTGACAAATACTAGAGAAGGCTCCCATGACCTACAGCATCTAGGATTTGGGAACCACCTGCCACCACTATGGAGTCTCTGTTTCATCTACAGGTGCACTAAAGAATGAGCGCACTTATTTTACCGGGCTATATGATAACAAGGAAGTAACACAAGCTGTCTGTACCATAGCTGGTATACAATAGTATAGTTATTATTAATGTTTTTCTTGTTAATTTATTCTATTATTTCGGCACTTTGTCTTATTGGATTATAGATCAGTAATTGCCGTACAAGCTTTTAGTTATCTTCTTCGAAACTTAAGATGCATCAAAGAACTAGTTTTTCTTAATATTCTTTTTCTAAATTTTAAGACTGCTGTTGACATATATATGTAATAATGTATATAAATATATCAATACTTTATTTAAATATCATTTTGCATTAATTTAAAAATTTTTAAAAATACAACTATTCCACACTATCTATTGAAAGACAGCTGCATTGATATCTGTCACTTACCTGCTCTCCTGAGCATGGGCAGCCCTAAGATTGCTTTGACAAATGAGGTAGAGACAAAGTGATACACCAGCTCCATGCATGACTCTTAAATAATATAACGGCTCCTACTTCCTGCATCTAGGGCCAAGGTTCTTGGATTCTATAACTTAGTCAATGTGTTGTGAGATACTGAAACTACTATAGAGGCCACAAGGGGAGACTCTGCTCAAGAGACCGAGCTAAGCTCCACAGATAGCTAAACCTATGAGCAACCTTGTCTAACTTGTCTATAAATCTTAAAATAATGCCAGCTCCAGATGTTCACCTGCAGGCAACTGTATGAAAACTCCAAGGAAAAACAGCCAAATGAACCCCTGTGGCTCACAAAATCATGGGAGGTAACTATAAGCCACAGGCTCGAGCCTCCAAATTTGGATGGTGCAATGTAAGATACAACCATGATAGGAACTAGCTGAATGATACTAGAGATCTTTGGCCTCTTCAATCCCACTAGGCACAGACAAACATAAGAAAGTCAAATGTTATGTTTTTTTTTTTCCTCTGGGGTTGGAGTTAAACTCATGCAGGTTCACCTGCTTCATTAGTGGAACCTCCCCCATAGTCAGGGTCTTAATAAGGGACAGTGAGTAAAATTAGGTTATTTTGACAGCTTTTAGGTTCAGTCTGTGTGTCGAATCTCCTAAAATCAGACATTGTTCAGCAGTATGAGTAACAAAGTTTCTACAAGTACTTTCTTACAAGTCAGGCTATACATCGGTGTTTCTGTTAAACCAATGCAAGTTTAAGTCATGTGGGCAGATAATTGCTAGGATATATAATCAATGGATCATTATCTAAAAACATTCCCAAATGTTCAAAAGGCCCCATTGATTGCTGTTATTACTAATTGTATTATTTTTCAGTGCAAGGAACTAAACCCAAGGGTTTGCTCATACGAGGTGAATATGCGACTCCTGAGCTACAACTCCAGCACCGATTTTAAACAAAACATCATGGCTGGCTATATAGACAAGTAAAACAGGTGATGGCAAATATTCAAGTATTTTAAGCAAGGCTGCCAGGAAGTCTGGTGGGAAGGCCTCTTGCATGGTAGACCTGTGCTGTATCACTGAGCTATACTCAGTGTAGGTCATTAACTAATTAATAAAACCTGTAATGTATGCTTTGACCGTCAAGTGCACTGTGTGCACATCAGTCAATCATGTCATTAGGGTTCTCTTATTCCTTGTCTCACTAACAAGACTGAAGTTCATGTTTTTCTTTATAGATAAAAATTACAGAGTGGACCTTGCAAAGAGTCCATTCAACCCTTGCCTAATATACAAGTGACTCAATACTGAGTCTCTGTGAATGTTTTCTGAAGTGCTCAGTGCACAGTGGGAAGGGAGATGACTAAGCCACTAATATCCACTGTCTAGATAAACTGGGAAATAATAGTATCTGAAGAAAATACCAACCCCCTCAAAAGATTAAAGCTAATCAAAAAGTACTCCTGAATATTAAAGCAAGATAATGTCATCCCTATTTAAAGGGGTCTGTTAAGAGAGATTAATATTTTTCTTATTTCTAATATAAACATTTTTGTAACATGTAGCTTGAAATGATAACTCCTTGCTCTATTTATGAATGTGCATTTGTGTGCATGTGTGTGAGTGATTCAGTGTGGAGGATGTTCATGTGTACTAGTGAGACCATGTGAAAGAGGTGGGTATGTGCCCACATGATGCCTGTGGAGGTCAGAAGACAACCTTGGCTGTCAGTCCTCACCTTCCACCTTGTTTTGAGACAGGCCCTCTTGTGTGTTTCCGCTGCTTTTGTCAAACTAGCTGGCCCACAAAGTTGCAGAAAGTCTCCTGTCTGTATTTCCCGTCTCCAGGGGAACTGCAGATGGTCATGGTAAGCATGTGGCTTCCAAGTGGATTCTGGATGTTCAGGCTCAGGTCCTCATGCTTGCATGACAAGCTTGTACCCATGAAGCCATTTCCCCAGCCCCACAACTCACCGCTTTCTATCTCCTCTTCATTGTCATCTTCTAAGATGCTTGCTGGGGCGGCTGATTCTCCGGCTTCCATCATGCTCTTCAGAGCTTCAAGCTGCTCTGTTAGTCAAATCAGACAAGCAGATGGTGAAAGATGCCAGACTCCTTACATAAAATGGGGAGTTTAAGATCAACATGGAGGACAGGAAAAGCAGTATATTACATGGGCACCTACTCGCTATGCTCATATCTTACATTCCTATTGCTTGGTCTTTGTAAGGATTGTGAAGCCAGCATGTTACAAACACAGGAGGGAAGTTTACTGGACCATGGGTGAATCTCCTCCCATTTCTGATTGCCGGGTTTGGGGGAGGAACCAGTACATAAAGACAAATATCAAACGTTCATAATTTAGAGAACCTGGTATAGACCAAGATTTAGGAGCAATAACAAGGACAGGGCAGAAAACCTACACGCATGCTAGAGATCAACAGAACTTTAGGATAAGAGTATTTACAAGTAATATGGTTGGGATTATTATCCTGGTAAATAAAACACAGTAGGAAACAACTCTCTCTGCATTTTAGAAATGGAGAAACACACAAAAGGATAAAGTACACTATACAATTAAATTGTCAAAAATAAAAGCAAAATAAATAAAGTCACTCTTTTTTTTCTTTTAGTATACATACAAGTCAAAAGTAGACCATAGTCAATGCTATAAATATTCTCAGAGAATTTTAGATACCACCAATGTGAGTGTAAATTAATTCAATTGTTATGAAACTGTGACAAGGTATGTAATAATACAAACACTGTTTTTCCTTTTCCTTTTGTATTTCAGCACATACACATACGATTAGACGTTTCCCTCTGCATGGACCGGTTGTAGAAATTAAAGATAAATGAGAATGCAGTGACGTAACCCTGGAAAGGAAATGTTATCTACATCCTATCCCCTCCCCTTCTCAAATCTACAGGGCGCTCTCAATCACACTTCATCCAGGCAGCTCAGGTGCCCAAAGATACAAGTGCATTTAACTTACTTTTTTCCACTTCAGGTTTCAGCCTTTTATTTTTGATGAGTATTTTTCTTTTGAGGTCATTAGGGGATGGTAAAGGTCTGCCTGGTTCAAGCTAGAGATATACAGGAAAAGTTCAGTTAGTGACTTCACTTTTTTCCAGCCCAGAAGAGCCCCAGAATCATACCAGCCAGCGTCCACTAGATGTCAGTCTGCACAGCTCTGCTTCCAGGCCCTTCTCACATCAGTTCACAGAATCCAAATTTGATTTGAGTAACTCGGCAAAGTTGGAACCCCTAATTTTCTGGAGTATACAGACCGGACCCAACTTGCCAATCGGGCAGGGTCTTACCTGAGTGGTGCTGGGAGGTGGCAGTCTTGCTGTATGTTAAATCTTCTAAATTCCAGGTCCATCATAAAGGACAGGGTAGCACTTGATAAAGCCCCAGACCTCCCCTCCATCTGCACCGTATCAAAGACTAAGCCTGTCTTCTTAATAGACCGACTCGGGATTTTAATAGGTGCACTGAAAGATGGGAGAGGTTTGAATTACTGGAATCTGAACTTCACTCTGGCTTCACTGTTTTATACTTTACAGGAAGTTAAGTCTGTTTAGGTTATTTTCTGCGACCAGGGGGACTGTTCTATCTCTAATTATTCAGTCCCCACCCATCCAACGGCACTCTTACCTATGCATCTTTCTACACAGCTTCTTTGATCCTATGCAGGACAAGCAAGCCTGTGTCTTGTCTCGTGAAGACCTTTAACAGAATGCTGCCTGCTGCCAGCTGGTCCTGTCTCTGGGAACACATATGTCCCTTCATTAAGAATATGCTTTCCCCAAAAGCAATCCTCTTCTCTTGCCCAAGAGAACAGGAAGAGGGTCCAGGAAACAACAGTAATAAAATGAATTACGGATGACTCTCAGTATGAACTCTTCAGAATCAGCTTTCTAGACAAGGATTAGTATACTGGTATTCTGTAAATTGATATGAGAGCTGGCTCTTGCAGACATCAACAGAGGAGTGCAAAAATAAGAAAAAGAACAGGGAGTGAAGGATGTGTTCCTTAGATGCTCCACTGTGGGCACCTGAGCGGTACATAGGGAGTCCTGCTGGGGAGCCCAAAGGACAGAAGAGAAAAAGTGTCCAGAAATAGCCCCTGGGAATCCGGAGTGAGGGGACTGGTGGAGATGTGCATTCTCAGACACTCTGGCCTGTCTCCCTTATGTGAGGAGAGCCTGACTAAGGACCAGAGGTCACAGCCAGCCAAAAGCTGTAGGCATGGTCAGCCAACAGTCAGGCCCAGGGTGGGGAGAGGCGGGTGCTGGGAGGGACATGGGAAGCACCTGCTCTGATGCTTCAGCAGGCTGCAGAGTCAGGTGGGGGGCAAAGGATGTAGCCTTGCCTCCCCAGGGCTTTCAGGGGCCACACCTACCTTTGGGAAAAATTCATGGTTAAACCAGCCAGATTACTCACATAGCAGAAATAGCATCGTGTCATCTACTATCCTGTCCTCAAATTGCTTTCTAATGCTCCCATGTCCGCAGGAGGTCTGAATGCCCCAATAAAACACTTTAACGTTGTTAGTAAGCCCTCTTTCTTGTGACATCTTGCTACACTGCATATTGTCCTCTGGGACATTATGTATCCTGACAGAAATCCAAGGAACTCTCTGGAACAATCACACATGCATTCAGACTTCATAAAGCCCTTCTATGGACCACAGACTTAATAAAAGCCCCTTTATGAAGAAACTGGCAGGTATACAATGAAGCTCAAAAATGGCCATGTGACTTTGCCTGAATATTTATTTTGGAGTTGGGAACTTGAACTTTGGGCCTTATGACATCAGTTTGGAGGACTTCCCACAGCAACAGGCTCCCATGAGTTCTGAACCCTGGGTTCTTATTTGTTTACCTGGAGGGTTTTAAAAATACACCTGCTTGGGCTGGGTCAGTTAGAAACCAAACATTGGAGGCAGGGGCCCTGGCGCAGGTGTTTTTACAGGTGTCTGAAGTGACTCAGTGTGAGGCCAGAACTGGGAAACACAGAGAAGCCTGGCCTCTGGACTTGGATGCTTTGTGAAATTTAAAACATGAGACCTTAAGAGCATCCAGATTACACGGAGTCACATGTTTACTTTAGGCTCCTCTCGACATCCCTCTGAAGCACGATAAAAGCTTTTTGTAGCACAGAATCTAAATAAATATGAAAATCCTTAGTATTTGTTCTCCAGTGCTACTTGACCCCTGGAAAGCACATTTCAAAACAAATCCATTCATGCTGGAAATATGGTTTGCTAAAAATACATACTGGATGTGATTCGAGGGCTTGTTTCAACAGGAGATCCCCAAATAGATCTTCACAATACTTGGACATCTTGTACTGTTGATATTTGCTGGGGAGAAAGAAGTGGCATTTGTAAAGTCAAATGTCCATTAACTCTCCAAGAATGAGATATCCATCCCTGTAACTAAAGACACCCACTTTGCAAAGTTCAAGGCTGATTTCATAACAGTGACTACAGCTATACTTTTAAGTACCATACAAACTTTAACTGGTGTAACTTAAAATTCAAAACTGACAGAGAAAAATGAAAAAATACCTCCTAACTTATCGCCCAATTTTCCATCTCAAAGGAACTTTAAAGCAGGTTTCCCATTTTCTGACTATTTGTTTGGAGAAAGCATTACTGAGCCCCAAGAAGATGACTTCTTGGTGGGCAGGGCTGGAATAACCATGTCCTGGCTGGAGGATTATTTGCTGTTTAGCCCATGAAACAGGAAATTACTCAGTTATTTTTTTTTTTTTTGAAAAAAATGAATGGCAGGATGAGAAGCCAGGGATCTGAAACACCACCAAGTAGGGACACGGGAAAGAGGCGGCTTTCATACCTGCAGTGGTTTTCAAAGGAGAGGATTACAGGATACTCTGATGTGACAAATGCTGTTTCCTTGATGGCTTGGATCACATCCTTTAAAGACAGAGAGTGTTTATGAGAGAGAACAGACTGAAGGTAACTCACACTGTTCAGAGACCACTAACGGAGCATTTTAAGACAGTCAACTTTAACAGTTTTGACCTGGAGAACACATCTGCCTACACAACTCTCCTGGGGAGACTCAAGAGGTTTAGGTCATTGCTTTTCAATCAATGCTGTCTTTTATCTCTCCAGTGCTATTAAACGACATTACTTGAGTGACCTGCCAAGTCCTCGCTTGACAGTGAGCAGAGCCAGGGACTCTGGCCCATCCCACCCCCTTTCTGTAGTACTCGGGTTTGAATCCAGGACTTGGTGCACGTGAAGCAAGTGCTCAACCATTAAACCATGCCCTGAGCCCTCATCAATCTCCTTTAGGACAACATAAACTCTCTATGAGAATTTTCATCCGAGTCCAGTCTTCAGTTCCTCCCACCTCTGAGGAAATGTGTCGCTAATAACACAAGGGTTTCGGCAAGCTTTTAACTGGCCGTCCACTGTACTGGTGTGGCAACTGCGATATCCAGTATTTCCGACAAGCCTAGTGAAAAGGGGGTCTCCTTCTGTGGTCAAGTAGCATGTGAGGCAAATAAGGGAGGGCTCTGGCTCCACTTTTACACTGACACCTACTCCTAAGCGGCAGAACACCTCCTTATACCTTGCATCATATGAAATAGAAAAGCTGTGTCTGACGGCTGGCCCACATGTCTGTTTTTGAACAAAGGACTTCGAACCAATGCTTCTCCAATCAGAGTATCACACTATAAAATGCTCACGATCTTACTGGTGTGTAGCTAAGCACAGGGCAACTCAGGTCACTCAGCAAGTCAGAAAACATTTTTACACTAATTGTCCAGAAAAGCACAGCTGAAAGTATTTTATTGAGCCAGCCTTATGAATGCAGCAGTCATCTGAGTATTATTTCTTAAGGTGTCTTCACAGGCAAACATGACCACGAACTTAAACATCTGGTATAAGGGGTCAGGAACTATTCCCGGAGGAAAACTGTGCCTTGGCCTTTGGAGTCTGCTTTCCTCATGGGTGACTTTTTTCCATGCTGCTTCCCCACGATCCTTGTCATTTGATAGCTATATAAAATTCACACTTTGTCCCTTTAATATACTCTAGACTCTTCTTAGGAAGCAAAACCGTGAATTAATTAAACTAATTAAAGTCACCAATACTTTGGCTAAGAGATATGATATGGAGGGAACGTTCCACGTACAGAAATGAGGCAGCTGTGGTTTCGAAGATAAGACACTGGGGATTTCGCTAGCAGGCAGAGCTAAGAGCCACTGTTCCAGACATTGTTATTCTCTCTCCTGAACTACACAACACAGCGGGCTATCTGATGTTAGCCGACACTGAGTTTCTTACCTTTGGTGGGATACTATGGACATGAGGAAGAAAACATGAAGAACGACCCATAGAGATCACCCCAAGGTTCTAAGAGGTGCTTGTTTATTAACTAATCCCTTTCGGTGAGGAGCGGGGTGGATTTCTCACTGGCCACAGTACTTAAATGGATGTGCTTCCTGATGATCCTGTGAACTGTGGTTCATTCCTTGTTCCAAATTTTTTGAAAGTATGGAGCCCAATTTGTAGCATGGCTTCCAAATTTAGAAGATGTCCTAACAATCATCCACAATACCAACCTCGTTATCTCATATTGTAAGGCTTATATATAAACTTGCTCTTTTTTTATGCTACCTTTGAGTCTTTCTGAAATAACAGAAACCAAGAAAGAAATAGATAAGATTTTTTTTTAAAAAAAAATGGTTTTGTTCATTTTGATTTGAGAATAGTTCTCACTATATTTCTCAAAATCCCCGCTGCCTCAGCATCCCAAGGAACTAGGCTATGTGTACACCCAACTGTGCCAAAAAAATTGTTTGAGTGTAAAACTAGATAGATGCTGCTACTAAAGGGCCTTACAGCCATCATTTGAAAGCCAGAAAAATAGCATGAAGGGAATATTATATGACTAATAATATTTTGTCTTGACTTTCTCTTTAAAACGAGAAGAACAAAACATGAACATGTGTTGCTTAAGAAAATGAAAAAAAAAATTGTTTTCTTGCTTCCTGTGTTTGCACAACAGTCTGGGAGAGCTAAGGCTGTGATGTTCTTAAACCCACCTTAAACAGGATGTCTGTACACATTGCCTTTCCGTGAGTTATTATCGGTTCCTGATCTTCACCTTTTCCATCCCAACAGTCAAGCTCCACACACCTAGAAGCACAGTCAGATTACAACACTGAGCCTGTACCGGAAAACCAAATCCAAAGTCAAAGACATTTTCTCCTAAGTCAGAACACGGAATGAGGAACACGGGCATTTCGTGGATGCACAAGTGTAAACTACATTTTGTTGCTCACCCTAGTGTCAAAAGAGGGCTGTGGGCGAGAGTTTGAGACTGACTGGATATGATAAACAGCCTGGTTCCCAATAAAATCATATTTAGGACCAAGTTGCAATAGAGAACAATGGACAGTTTGCAATAGAGGCTGGGTTTGGATGATATTGACATTGATTTATAAACTCACTGGGTAGAATAATGTTACTTTCACCCTGCCAGTAAATTTTCTTGAGCTGGACCTGGTGGCACTGGATGGTAATCCAGTTTCCTAAGAGTTTAAGGCCAGCTTGGACAAGTAGGTGAGACTCTTTCTCAAAATAATAAGTCAACTAAAAGCCTGACGTATAATTCAGTGTAGAGTCCTTGCCCAGCGGGCATGAAGCTCTCAAAGCAGTCCCCAGGGCCAAGCAAGAAGCACTCCTGCTGTCTTTCGATTCAGATACAGATACTGAGACAAAGCGCATTAATGAAGTTAGGATGGAATTAATCTCCTCTGTAGCACTTCTGTACACAAAACGCAGTGAACTTTAAAAAATAAATTTTTCCAAAAAATCATAGTACAACTACATTTCTTTTTTTGCAATATATTAACCTTAAATATTTGCTCTTTTCTATACAAGTTACTTTCAGCAATATCTCCTTAGAAAACTAAACTTCTGAGCTTTACACAGCCACATTTTTTATCTTGATTTTTGTATTTTAGGCAGTAGTAAGGATTGAACTCAGGACCTTGCACAGACTAAGCAAATGCTCTACCACCAAACTAAATTCCCAAGCTTTTTTTGTAGCATTAAATAAAACTAAATTTGTAACTACCTAGAACTAGTAGAAAACTTAATATGGCTTCTTAAAATATATTTATTTTCTTGTTTTACAATTTTGAGGTCATATTTTAAAAATCACAGTAGATGATTGTCTTTTGACCCTGAAGATGGCTCCACAATTTTATGTGATACCTTCTTTTCTCACTCAACATAAAATGAACATACTCTATTAAAGAGAAGTGTAAATGTTCTGATTGCTATTTCCGATTTCAGAGAAAAGCAGATTACAATAGTCTTTCCTTATCCATGGTTCAGTTATCTAGGGTCAACACTGGTTTGAAAATATAGAATGCAAAGTTCTATGTTTTAAAGCATGCCACTGTTGAGTGGTGCAATGGCCTCGTTCACCGGCCAAGTGTCCTGCCTAGGAGTTGGATCAACCCAACGCCCAGCACAACACCCTGTATTCACTACCACCTGTCAGCCACTTAGTGGTCTTCCTTGCTATCAGAATGTCATACAACTACAGTGTTTTATTCAAGAAACCCTTACTTTCACTGAGTAATTTGTAAACAGAACTTCATCACAGGTATTTACATACGTGGGGAGAACTAGGTATGAGCCATTGCCCAGCAGATCCACTGGGCATCTTAGAACACTGGGAATTGGAGAGACAAAGGGAGGTCAATGATATGTTTAAAGGTGCCACATATAGACAAAGCAAATCTCCATCTTGAGTTCCAGACCTGCACCCAGCCAGGAGAACTTGTCTGTACATCTCCACTGAAGACTTTCCGCCAAACTGCCTGCCGGTGAGATAGGTATTGTGGGAAGAACTGATGAAGTAGTGAGCCAGGGGGTGATCCATCTCCTGGTAAAGTTCTAAGCGATCTAGGAAGACTGGGGCATTTTCATCGGACATCAGATATCTGCAAAACCCATCACTTGATATGAGGCCTGGGGAGAAAGAAAATCTGAGTGGTACCGCAGCTCCGAAGACAAACATCTTTCATTTTGCCCAGCCTCGTTGAGGTAGTATAAAAGTCAGAGCAGAAACAACTCTGTAGTTTTTCCCTAGACCTAACACCGTTCAGAACTTGAACAAAATACAAAATTACACATTAAAAGAAGAACAGTCTATGACAGTTCTCCAAATGAAGAAACTATGCTATGAACCACAGCCATGAGGGACCTCTGGCTCTTCTACGACCATCCTTGCCTGCTTCTGTCCATCTCCTGGTTTCTCTGGTCAAGTGGGGAACAGAATGGCCCAGGATCATCATGATTGGTAACTGAGAATACCTGTAAGATGTGTGTCATTAATTCTAAGTCACTTATTTTCATTCAGTTGGAGAAATGGTTGCCTTTCAAATTTAAACAATTTATTTTTCACAATTATCTAAACATTAAAGTCTGACGCTGGTGAAAAACATGGAAACACAGGCCACTGCTGATTTCAGTTACCTTTCTGAATGGGGCAGGGCTTACATGGCAACTGTGGGGTGGATAAGCAGTGTTTCACAAACGCCAGAAGCCTCAGCCCTTTGCTTTTTCATGTAACCATTTATAAGTTATGAAGATAATCCCATTCACATCCACTGAAAAGCTCCACCGATTATCTAAAAGACAGCTCTGGGCCTCATGCACAGCTTGCTTAGGTCTCACAGTTTGCTCTGCAGGTTTGACCTTGATGAAAGAACACGTTAGAGATGGCATCACTGTGCCTACGAGCTGTACTACAACTCCATTTTTCTACAGCCAAATAACAAGACTATCCCAGTTCTTGTAACACTCCCCAAATAGTTTTTCAGGTTAACTACATTTGTGTCTAATCAATAGATGTCTAATCAATAGATCAATTCCAGTCTTTTCAATTTTACAGAACAACTATACCACTGTGTGCATCTGAATCATTTATGCACTTATGTGCACACATGTTCATGTGTACACATACACACAGAGTTTATCATAAACTGAATAAATGGCAATCCACAAGAAATATATATATATATATATATATATATATATATATATATTATATTTTGGTTTTTCAAAAAAGGGTTTCTCTTTGTAGCCCTGGCTGTCCTGGAACACTCTCTGTAGAACAGGCTGGCCTTGAACTCAGAGATCTGCCTGCCTCTGCCTCCCAAGTGCTGGGATTAAAGACATGTGCAACCATGCCCAGTTCTCTTATAATAATAAGTTTGTTGCTGGATATTCAGGCCATTTCTAATAACAACTGAAGTACTACAATAAAAGTTTCTATGCTTCTGTCCTTGGCATATTCATTCATTTGAATAACAGACACTTTTGAGGCACTGAGACAGGTGCAGAAAAAAGAGCTACATTCCATTTTTACAAAGTTCACATATTATGGGAAAGAAAAATAAATATATGAATAATTATAATGCCATACTGGAAGTACAAAGCTAGGATGATGAAACAGGATGGTGGGATACTGGTTTAAATACGTGGCCAGTGAAATCTTTTTAAGATTTCATAAATGCATAGGAACAAGATATACAGCCACATAGAGCCAAGTCACACAGATGCAAAGGAGTGGGTCTTTGGGGTAGAAGGTTGAGCAAATGCAGAAATCTTGATGCAGGAATGTGTGTTCTCAATTCATTCAATAAATGCAAAGAGGAATGAGCAACATCTGGGGAATGAGCTGGGCAATGATGCACGAGAGGGGGCCAAAGGCTGCATCCATTAGGGTTTAGTCCTATGTTCTTGAGATTTTTGTGTTGGGAAGCTTCGGTGGCATAGCAGAATACACAATACCATTGGATAGTATCCTAAAAGGCTTACTCTGACTGCTGTGTAGAGCACATTACTGGGTACAAAGCAGAACAAAGATGTCACAAGCCAGTTGGCATTGCCCCTGGATAGGTTGTAGGCTTGACCATCTGAAATGGTGAGAATGAGGTGGACCTCACATGCTTTGGTGACAGATCATAAGAGATGTGAAAGGAATAAAACATACAGGGTGATTCCAAAGGTTCTGACTTGAAAAGCTAAGTGAGTAGTGCAGCCATTTCTTAGGCTGCGAAAGAAGAGGGATGGAGACAGGACAACCAAGCCATGCTGCAAACACACCTGTTCAATATGCAGATAAGCAGGCCTACTGCAGGCTCCTGGGTTATGGTTGAGATGAGGACTGGAGGATTTACTCTGAAAGTCATATGTTTACAGAAGACACTGAAAGCTAGAGGCCTGCATGGCACCCGCTCCTAGCAGAAAGCATGGAAGAAGCAGAGGTCTAGCATGGGACAGCCACTATTTGGAGACTGTGTGATACTCTCTAGGGTACACACCTGCAAGAGGAAATGCTGAGCTACCAGAGAGGCACATTTTCTACTTTTTGAGCTACTCTCCCAATCCCCAGGTAGTTGTGAACACTTACAACTCTGTGAGAAGTGTCTTTTGAGCTGTCCTCTTACATTGTTCATTAAGTCAAAAGGAGGCTTTAATTCTCTGTTATTTGTGAAAGGGAGAAGCTGTGTGTGTTTTTTTAAAGCTGGTGTCAGTTATAATCAGGGCTTGAAAGGACCCGAGGATAACAAAGACACAAATCATTACATCATCAGTTGCTGAGGAACAGCTGCTCTTGTCACAGCTGACTTCAGGATGCAGAGGGGGGCAGCGTGAACACTTCTTATTCAGTCTTGAACTCCCAGTGTTACAGTTTGAATGTGAAATGTCCCTCACAGGCTGACATGTTAGGACACCTGGTCCCTAGCGGGTGGCCATGTTTTGGATGTTACAGAACTGACTGGTGGGGGAAGGTCACTGCGGGTGTGTCTGGATCTGATATTTCTGCTTTCTAGTCCTGTTAGGATGTGAGCAGGTGCCTCACACTCCTGACACCACACCTTTCTGCTACGACAAACTAAACTTCCCTGAAAATGTGAATGAACCCAAATAAATCCTTGCGCCCACATGAGTTGCTTCTGTCAAGTATCCTGGTCATAATGACCAAAAAAAAAAAAAAAAAAAAAAAAAAAGAGCCTCACAAAGCAAGCATAGCCTCCTGGCTGCCAAGTGTCGGGCTCCTGGGCTCCCGGGCATGTCCCTGCGGCAGGGATGCACTTCAGTTGTCCCCATACTTTTCCTTTGATTACTAGTTGAACTACATATTGTTTCCGAACCAAATGAAAGGGACAAAGATCCAGAAATATGGACAACTTGCTGAGACTAGTTAGTGTCCTATCAGTGTGTTTGTCTTCCAACCCAGGGGTCAAGTATCAAATTAAGTACTAAGTTTATTCAGCTTAGCAAAACAAAAGGGAGCAAAGGTAGGTGCACGTGTTCTTATGTGACAAATTCTTTTCAAAGACTGCACATAGAGACTGTCTTCTTAGCACTATGCAAAATTAAAACTTAATATATATGCATATACAAGGGATTATCACTACAATGTCCTTATCAACACAGTACATTTTGCAGTGGGATACTTCAGACAGTGTGGATTCACTCGATAGAACATACAAGCTAAATTAGTTTAAAAGCAAGAAAAGAATAAATTAATTACTAATCTTTGAATCTATAGTGCCCCCAAAGCATTTAAGATATTTTAATTATAATTCAAGGTTTTTAAATGTACATTTTCTTGTTTAAATAAAAAAACAAAATTTAATATGTTTTTTCTCATTTATATTACCTTTTTTCTTCAAATCTTCATCAGGCTCATACATCTCAATGATCCGCATTGCTCTTTTTGCATCATAAAATGGAAATAAAATTTCATTCAGCCGAGGATCTCGCTGGTGCTATGATGAGAAAATAACTCCATTTAGACCCACGTTCCTCATCCTGAAAGAGATTTCTACGCATATAATTTGTACAACAAGATCCATCTAGACGCTCATATTTGTAATTACGGAGATCAGACTTCACTGCCTTCCTGGCTCTCTCCCTGAACTATACTACATAAAGTTCATCTCTGGACTTATGCTGTTGGAGCTGGACGGTGAAAAAAGGGGAGCTGTGTGGTTTCCTCCTGTTTCAACTTTGAAGAAAACATGAACGTGTGAGAACGGCAACTGCACTGCCGTCTACTTCCTACACCTTAGGTCAGTGACTTGCCACAAATAGGTGCAAAAAAATGAGAGAAAAGGATCTCTACAGCATTTAAAAATCTAGTATTGAGGTTACCTTTAAAAAGAAAAAGAAAAAATAAAGAAAATAAGCAACCATATCAGGTACTAAGTGGCCCAAAGCCCCAAAACAATAGCAACAACAACAACAAAAAAAAAAAAAACCCTAAACTTGAGTGTCAGAAAAGTAAATAGTTAAGTTTTAACCTAGCTTTCTCTACTTTTTTACCTACTTTCTCTTGAGCACTCTGTAAACTTTGTTTTCTTGGAGTCACAGTTTTCCAAGATGATAGAATTGTAATGATGGAAATGAATCAGCAAAGAATCATCAAGTTTAAAATACAGCATCTCAGGGCACCTTCTCTCTACAGCTGTACCCGCACTCTGCTCTGGAAGAAGTCCCCAGCAGAGTGCAGGGAAGAGGCTCTGATGGAAGCTGCCAATAGCCACCTTTCTCAGTCAGCACCCAAGATGCTTCTGACATTGAAGGAGTAACACACTTCCTGCACTGAGGCTGCCCTGTCTTCCTGGAATGGCAAGAAGCCTATTTACCTACTCACTACCTAACTAAGCTATGTGTGTGTGCAAGCTTATATATGTGCGTGTGTATGTACGTGTGGATATGGGTATGCATATGTCACGGCGCGTGTCTGGAGGCAGTGGATCCACTAAACTTTCTTACAGTTCACTGTGGATGACAGGATTGCATTATGTCCTCTCTCAAATGAATAAAATGTAAGCTTTCAGAGACTGATGGGCCAATAAGCAGATGTGCGCAAGAATTGCTTAACGTATCATACTTTGGCAACAACTCTTTACCCAGATGCATGCACAGAGTTGCAATAATATTATTGGAAAGATGCTTAAGAAGCAACTGTTCATATGGCCCCTTTTTTCTCTGCTGAGGGATGGTCACCTGTAAGGGGGGCTATGTACAGAACAATACCTTTGGCCAATGGAACACTTTATTTTAACTGCTAAAGCATAGATGTCTCTAGACTCCCCTTGTACCGTTTAGTTAAAAGTGTTAAAGTGAAAGAATCAATATATTTATTGACAGCTTATCCTGATGAAGCATTCTTCTGTTGAAATATTACTGATTATGTCCATGTCAATGCTAGACTGGAAACTGTTATGCTAATAGCAGGGCTTGATACTTTAGAGAATAGTGATGAAATCTGTAGAGAAAGGGAAACTGATGTGGACAGTGGGATGCCAGGCAAGTGAAGACATGCTAGAACCTGTAAGGATCGCTACACCCCATAAGGATCGGATACAGCATACAGCAGACCCCAGTATTCAAAGGTGTTGGGGGCTGCAGACCCCTGGCCCCCTTGACTTTCTTTGCCTGCTGGAGCGAACTGAGCAAAACAACTTGTTTTCCTGTGCCTGCAGCTGCTGTGAGCACAAGGCCCTCATGAGTTCCTGATGGCAGGGGGGTAAATTCTGGTGGGTTTTATAGCTGGAAATCCCAAGAGCTGGGGCGTGGCTATCAGTTAAGGATACCTATATAAGCTTCCCTGGAGCACAAAAAAGTTGGCATTCTTGTATCAAGGATGACCTGTGTCCCCGTGTCTCTGTCTGTGTGAGTGTGTTTTTATGTCTCCAGCACAGTTCCTGGCTTGTGTACCTTCCCTTAGAGCAGACATTGCTAGTAACACAAGGGGATTAAGGTCTCCCCCGGGGTGAGAGGAATCATTTAAAAGCATTCAAAGAAATAAAATCCTAATCACTCTCTAGACATCTTTCCTCCCATAAACTAGAACTAAATAAGATGGATAAGGGATGGAAAGGGATCTTTTCATATCTGACATAGTTACACTCAATTATCCTCTGTTTCTTCCCTAGTAAAATTAAGTCCTTTGACTTAAATAGGAGATCACTGGTGAGTATTTGGGACATAGATAACTGAAGGGGCAAATCCATGTGACTTAAGAAGAGGAAGAAAAATGGGATACAGTTATGGGGGAGAAAACAGATACAATGGGAAAGGGGGAAGGAAACTCAGACATTTCTGGGTGTTTTTACACATGTACATATTAACATGGTGCTGCTTAAAATGTGATGTGTGGATGGCAGGAGCAGCATCACCATCACCTGGGAGAGTTTAAAGACTGGATTCTGGGGGCCTCTCCACAGACCTCCTGGAACAGAGTCCCCGGGTGGAACCAGGAATTATTTGGGATGCAAGCAGATCTAGAAAGCTTTCCCGGTAATTCTGACTTGCTCAATTTAAGCATTCCTGCTCTAGGGTAGGAGGTGTGCCTCTATTGCTTGCTCAGCCCTGTGGGCTAAATCTCCAGTACTGCACAGATCAGGTGTGGTGGAACTTGTCTGTGTAATTGCAGCACTTGGAAAGCAGGGCCGGGAGGATCAGAAGCTCAAGGACATCTTATGTTACATAGCAGACTGGAGGCTGGCCCTCTTAGAAATGAAAGGAAGAAAGGAAGGAGGGAAAAAAAGAAGGAAGGAAGGAAGATAGAAAAGAAATAAAAAGAGGAAAAAGCATTGATTTAAACTGTAACCACAAGCATTTTATTTCATGACAAAAAAACAAAAGCAAGAAAATCCCATCTAACTAAATAATGCAAGGCAGGACTAATATGACCTGTGTTCCTAATTAAGCTTTATCCATTAAAATGTAATTAGAGGGCATCATATTCATAAGATCATCTTTCTAGTAGAAGGAATAGCCAGGAAAACAGCACATATCCATACTCGCTAGCTAAGGTGTTTATAGTCTTAGCAAAGGGATTTAAGTGCAGACAAAATAAAATTCCACTTTGTCTTTGTACCTGCTCTGCCAGAAAATTAATCTTTTCTTTCCCCCAAATTTTCACATTTTAAAAGGTGACAAAGCCTGGTCCCTCTAAATAATCTAGAGGCAGGGAAACAAATGGTAAGGTTTGCATTTTTTCATCCTAGTGAGGAAGGATGCTACACACCATCACATCCAGGTGACCTCAGAGTAACAGCGTGCAGAAGAGTTCAAGTCAGAGACAGCACAGCACAACAGGTCGCCACAGCTCTGAGACACCATCAACTTCCACTCAGATAAACAACAAGCCCAGCATCTCACTTCCTGGCATCCAGAGCTTTCTAAATGAGGTTCTAAATAGCTCTGAAGAGTCGGTCATGGAAACCTGTGCCAAGCAAATGAGATCTACCATGGGAAGCCCCCGCAACTCTGTCCTTAGCTTTACTGAGAAAATGTGTCAACTGCCTTTGGTACAAGTGCACTGGGGGAGATGGATGCTGAGCTAATATTTTGAAATGGTATAGAAAGGGAGCTGAACAATTGGCAAGGCTGGGCTCACATAGGATAGAATACTCTCCCCTCTTCCTCTCCCTTTTATCTTCTCATCTAAGAACAAGGGTATTGTAAAGTGAACAGAGTTAGGTACTCTCTTACATACTTCTAATTAAAACATGTAAAAACCAGCTTCAACTCTAATGTGCTCCTGTGTGTGGTGATGCGTGTGAGGGAGTAGATAACCAGCGATAAAATAAAGTCATGTTATGTTTTGTCTTTGTTTTTAACTGTCTCCATATAAGACCCATTTCCTCTTTCTTATTTTGGTTTCTCCTGCTCTCTGGGCAGCCCTCAATTCTCCATCAACTTCCTTAGCTGTTATGCTTACTGGAAGCAAAACAGAAACGGAGGTGGCACTGAAATAAATTTATCTTATTAACCAAGGGGGAAAAAGTGAAATCACCTGACCCTAGAGACTGCATTAGTCCTGCCACACACAGCTGAGGTGATAGGAGAGCTTGATGCTGGCAGCTCTCAGCATGCACCTTTGCCAGTTCTCCATAACTCTAGCTTGCCGTTCTTCATGATTCTGGTGAAGGACGTTTCCTTCTATCCACCGGATAGAACCCAGAGACACTGTGATCCTAAAGGTTTAGCTGTGAGCGTGAACCTGTCTGACTAAATTCTTTATGGAGGACGACAAAATATATTTATTATGCTCAGATTCCCCTTCCCCCGCCACTCCACTAAGCACCCCAAGAAGTCATCCTGTTAGCCTTGACAGCGCTGCACAACTTCCGCTTGCACACATGTTGCCTGGACATCTTGTTAAGCGCAGGTTACTGACTCAGTATCTGCATTGCTAATATGCTGCTGGGGGACACTAATGCTGCCTGTCTGGGGATTCAAGCTATGGCCATCTGTGATTAAGAGGCCCTGGAAAGCAGATGAGAAATGAATTCAAAGCTACCACTGAGGGAAGAGAGGCACATACCCTACACAGTAACTAAGTAAAAGACTAAATTTTTCTCCCTTTTCTACCTCTTGAAGGTAGAGATTAGTACACTAATCAGAAAGAAAGAGTGAGATTTACAGGCTGGACGATGGCAGAAGCCAGTATGCTACAGGCTGACAGGAAAGGGCTTTCTTTTCCTCGGTCAGCACCAGTCAGTGAACCCTGTTGTGTATGCACCTATTGATTTTTTGTGGTTATAACTGGTTCTCAGATACCCTGAAATTTGCATACATGCTGACCAGGGCCTTGTCCTTCCAGTGTTCCTCATTTTCTCTTATCTTGCTGCATGACGCTGGATCCCATGTAGCAGTGAAACTGCCTGCTGAGGTCCTTAGAAAACATTGAGGCCTGATCTATTTAAGGTCACAGACCTTTATGTTCCAAACCCTACTGCCATTCCAGATGAGCTCTGTCTCCTTGCATTACAGGATCTGAAGCTGCCATGCCTAAAGCTATTTTGATTCTGGAGAAATCAGTGGGATAAGAGTAGAACTGTACATAGGATGTGCAAGAAGCCGGCGGGGCCTGGGGATGTGGGGTGATAGTGGAGGGGAAAGAAAGCCATATTTGGAGATGACACTGTGATTAAAATCCCAGGGCAGATACTTTTCTGGAATGTCCTATTGCCTTTCTAGAACCTACAGAAATCTAGAATCATGCCGATTCCACCAGTCTCATCTAACATTCAGGGTATTTCTTTGCTTAAAGAGAAGCCAAGGGAAAGGAAATATAAAGAACAAAGCCTGTGATGGTCTACTGCAGCAGCGACAGGGAATGCTTGCTTCATCATAAAGAACATGGAGGGCAGAGCCAGAGAAGTATGAGAGACCTGTTCTCTTCATATACTTCGGTTTAAAAAGTAAAAGCTTACACGTTTTATGAGTAAAAAATTTAAAATCCTTTGGAATAATGAAATGTGATAACTAACTGGACAAAGAAAACCATCTGTGAGAGGAAATGAATCCTACAAGAGGTGCAAGAGCAGCACCTATCCTCTGGACTTTAGAGTTGGTTCTGAACTCCAACAGTGCAGGGCAGTAGGAAGCGCATGCTGGCCCAGGAAGTGCTGATGGACTGACCATGAGTTAAGGTTTCCTCCTCTCTCTCTCTCACCAGGAAGTGCTGATGGACTGACCATGAGCTAGGGTTTTTTCCTCTCTCCCTCTCATAATGTTTTCCACCTAGAAAGCCAGATTCCTGCCCATCTTATCAGATTTAAGATTATCAATGAGCCAAAGTACACGAAAAAGCTACCGGAAACAAAACCAACAGTAAGAAGGAGGAGGAAGGGCTAAGGAATATAGGGGGACCAGTTAATTTCAGAGAACTGTTGTACAAGAATAGGGCTAATATCTGGGTAAAGATTACAATCACAGGATTCAGATGACTACAGTGGAGAGGACTGGAAAGACCTAGGACATTTTCAAGTGAATAAATACTGCATTGCCCTGAGCAGATTCCTCAAAGGCGGAAGCATCTGTGTGGGTATATAGAATCCCTCTCTTTGTTGTCTCAGCGCATGTGTAATTGTGTTAACAGTTTCTGACGTGTAGCCCTATGAACTGGAACCCATGAGCCTGCACACATCAGGAAGAGAAGACCTTTGGCAAAGGTGTGATTTGCTTGTGCAAAGTGGCACACCAGGGACTGCCCGTTCTTTTTGCTGAGGCATTACCTGGTGTCTAATGTGATGCTTCCCCACCCCACCCCCCTGCTGGGGATTGAACACAGGGGCTCATGGATGCTGGGTATGTGTTCTTCCACCGCACAACTCCATCAGCCCAGTCCTGTCTCTTCAGGCATGCCCTTGTTGTATGGTATGATTGTGAACTTTTTTCCAAATAAGACTGTGTTGTCCATTCCTTACTCACATTTTTCTGACTATTTATGTTTATGGGGAAAGGTGAATTTTTCTTTTCGGATTAAAAAGAGCCTCTGTGGGTTTTGCTAAAAAACACTTTGTACACGAAAAAAAAGGTTCTTTTTGGTTATAATAACAAAAGTTGTGGCTTGTTCTAAAATATTTTTTCCTTGTACTTAAGCAAATTTTGTTGTTGGTTTAGTTGCTAAATGAATTGTGTTCCATATTCAGCTCTGAGTTTGTTTTGAAAATAAAGAATGAAAATTTAATCTGCAATCTAGTTGGCCTAACGCTATATTTTGCCTAGAAGCTCAAGGGTCAAATTTTGAACCTACATCTTTGTCTTACATGCAAACCGTTAAAAGACAAAAATATAGGTTTCTAGTCCATGCAAAGGTTTGAGGGGAAGTTAGCAACGGAGAATCCAAATATAGTAACATAAACTCAGTCTGTCCTCTTTCTATTTATGAGATCAATATAGACTCGACTCAAGGTACCTTAAAAAATCATCTTGCAAAAAAAACACAGACACATTTAATTCAATAAATACATTACAAATTTCACACATACACACGGAACCAGAGCTACACATCACAGCGTGAAACCGACAGGAAGTGGTGCGCAAAGCCAGCGTGGAGGAGGCACAAGGACATACAGGTAGGCGGCGGCTGATTTTTGCACCTGGTCAAGCCATCATGGAAAGATCAGCGGGTCAGAAGCCAAGCGAGTAAGGGTGCGTGACGCAAGCATGCAGTGAGGACACTGGGGAGGCAAGCCACGGCACACAGACTCATGGAGTTAATGTATGAAAAAGCTTACTTCGTTTAGAAAGCTCACTAATTGGTCTACCGTTAAATAATCAGTTTTGTCTCCATTGCTGAAAAGAAATGTATTAGAAAAAGTAAGTTTCTGTATATGATGCTACAGTAGGTACGATTTACATGTTGACATTTGCGCATAACTCTAAACTCATTTTCTAACCCTGAAGTAGGTGAATTCTCAAGAGTGGTCAGGGCCTGTAGAGGGGGAAAGAGGAACCCAAGAACAGCAACAAAGGAAAGATAGCATTCCCACTAGGTCACAGAAATTGCCTGTAATATGCAGTTCTTTAGCTCTACCAAAAGACATTCCTTCAGAAACAACATGTAAGTCATCCATTTGAAATTAACTGGAATGAATGAACTTCTCAACCACATATTAACATTCCAACCAAATCGAATCTAGTTAGTTCACATAATGGGTTAATACCTAAAGGAGCAGGTTAAAATTGTAGGTCGTTAGTAAAGCCAATGCCGGGGGGGGGTGGGTACACGTTCCAAGTGCTGTAATTAATCTATGTCAAAGTTTCTTTAAAGAAAAAAAAAAACCCTCAGAGTGGATTTCTATACTAATAAACTAAAGGGTGAAAAATGTAACCCTAACTAGATATACTAGAGCTAGCAACATATACTTAAAGATTACAGCAAAGATGGTTTCAAAATTTATAGGGGCAAAGATAGCATAACACTTCTTCACAACGAGAACTTACATTTTTTTATAAAGGTCTTCTATGTCTGTCCGAGGACAAATCTTTTGTGTCAGTTCATAGAACTTTTCATAAGTAAATGCGGCAGGCTCAATTTCATCGTTCTGTGGAGAAGAAAAAGGACAGGCATTGAAGGAACATCTTTTCCCTTCGTAAAGAGCGGTGATCTATAAGGTCCTGAAGTAAAGCCCTGGGCATAGCAAATGAGGCTTCCCCAGCGATCATGATGGCGTGGATGACACGTGAGACACTTGGTGACACCTGTCTCCAGCACGGCTTTCTCTGGGAAATCTCTCAGCGATTGAATATACAGAAATTTCTCTCTCTCTCCTTGAGGGAGGAAAGTAAGTGCTCCCGTAGTGGATATTGGATAATCAAGTCCAATATTTAATGACACCTATTTTGTGAATTTTTAGAGGATCACAGAGCAACCAATGGGATTTACCTGTCACACTGAAATGTAACTTTCAAGCAAAACTTTTAAACAGAGTCGGAGACACACGTCTCTCTTGCAGTACAAAAATTAATTTCAATGGCTTGAATACAAAGGGTCGTGAGCATAAATGGACGAGACAGAAAGGAATCCTTCATGAAATCCTGCAAGGCTGTGTGGAGGAACTGAATTTATTAGTTAATAATTCATGCTGATGCTAGGCTAGGCTAAGGCAGTGTGGCTGGGTGTTCTAAAATAAACTCCATAAACTAGAAAGAACAGCTGCCCCCTTTTCATCTCACCTTAATAAAGTTGACAAAAAAATCATCTTGAAGTGAAATAGTTGGATTTGAAAACACTTTGAAAAGTGTGAGCATGGTCAGTGGAAGGTGAGAAGGAAAATTAACTGTTGTCTGTGTCACTGGCTCCACTGGTGCCCGTTTAACATAGTAACCTAGCTTATCACAGATGGGTGGACCAACAAACAACAGTGACAATGGTTTTAGGAATATGGTTAAGTCAGTCAATACCTTTCCGCTGGGCAGACCCAATTCCTTGAGGGCTTGAAAGATCACCTTTTCCGTTTTCCCCGACGCAAAGGTTCTAGTAATACTAGAGCAGGAGAGAAAAAAAAAAAAACAACGCGTTACTGCTCATTCTGTTTTCTCTGATGCAACAGTCCAAATACCTTAGAGATGAATGGTTTAGGGAGAAGGAAAAATGAATAAAACTACCTTTTAGTTGACAGTGTTTTACATAACCCCATATTAACTCTTCTCTCTGGTTACCAGAGCCAATTCTAGTCCTTTCGGTGCTTGTGAACAAGTGAGCATTGGACAAATGCAACGATCCATTTAAAACCTAAGAACTGGTGTTGTTGGGAAGAAACAGGAAAGTGGCTGATGGTCTAGTGGCTCTCAAAGTGCATATGAATGAGGTTTGCATGTAGGGAAGGCCTGTGGCTCCTGTTCTCCTGGCCTGCATATTCACGACAGTGGACACCCAGTACCAGACATATTTTGGCTGTTTTCATCTAAACTCCCTTGAGACACCCTGCTATGCTAGCCTTCTAAAGGTCTAGGATTTTACCAGGATCCAATTCATTATTTCATCAGAATCATGACACTTCCTAAGACATGGCATTTCTGAATAGCCTTTTAACTAGTTTGTACTAGTTAATTTTGGTAGTAAATTGCACTAAAAATGCTAGTCAAATTTTAACACCTAATGGCCAAACTTCCTTATGTAAAAGGAGGAGAGAACACCCTACACACATTATAGATGTGTCAGAGATACTTATAATGAAAACTATCTGCTTGGAAGGTTAGGGGATATTTGTTAGCCAGACACCTTGTGCACATGGCAACCAGTTTTGTCTCTGCCTATCCAGGGGGCTTATTTGCTCATAGATTAAAAGCCCTGGTCATGAATTACTATGGTCCTTGAAAGGCTAAATTTAGATGGGCAGGCTTCACTGAAGATGAAGATGACTTTCAGTTGTGAAATGTGGCTTTTCAATGGAGCTTTAGCGTCTCACACCCAACCTTCACGTACTTCCCATTGTTTCTGTTCAGTGAATGCAGGCACTGACAGCCAGTTCCTCTTGGTGAGTGTGAGAAAGCACTGCTTCAGCTGCAGAGTGCAGCTTGCCGAATTAGACCCAGAGGAAGGAGCTTTAGATAAATGCATCCAGATGTGTCTGTTTAAACCATTATAGTTTTATATTAGGTCCATGAAGACTCTAAGAAGTTTTTTAAGTGTTCTTGAGAAATGTATTTACGCATAGGGGAGGCTAACAGTGGAGCGCAGGTGTGCCAGGCGAGCAAGGAAAGCAGATAATGGCTTTCTAGCAGAGGGGCATGTCTATTTTTTGTTAAGTCTGGAGAGTTCATTCAACTTTTAGATACCGACTAGGAGTAGATACCATTTGACCTTTTAGATACCGACTAGGAATAGATACCATTTGACCTTTCCAAAGTGGCTACTCAATGTGACTTTATCAAAGTATGCCTTGATATAATAATTGAGAGGCCACAGCAAGGTTAGGGTGAATAATCTGTGTGTGGCAATCTTGGGGGCCTCCTAGCCTACTCAAGGCTGCTGGATAAGAGAGGACTGGTTATAACATGGTGAAACTGACCACTGTGGCCACGAGGTAGGAAGTATGGAGTCCACGCCATTCCTGCAAAGCAGAAGGAAGGCACCATGGGGAAGGAAAGTAATGAAAACAGTCTTTTGGTGAGCGCCGAGCTAAGTGTCAAGAAACAGAACTTAGAACAAGAAGGTCAAGGAGCAAGGAGATGGGAGAGAGAGGTGCTGACTTCTGAGATGTGAGTAGAGTCTGGGTAGCCTACAGACACATTTTCTCACTGCATGTAAAAAGAGAAGCCAGAATGGAAAATAGGCACAGAGGCATCAGTGAGACTATTTCCCTAGAGTAATGTTTACTGCCTTTGCTCCAGACACCTTTCCAAATCATTACTGAGTCTGAAAATTCATCTACTGTGATTACGAGGCTGAGGAGGGAATCGGAATTCTCTGGTTTCCAGAAAGATGTTCTTCAACCATGGTTCTGAGAACAACACACTAATCACACACAGTTTGAGACATTTTAGACACCATGGGAGTATTTCTTGGCAACATACATACTTATAGTACGTTGATAAAGGGACTGTGACATTATAATAACTTCTATATGATTCCCTGGCCAACGAGGTCTGCTTGGTGTTTCAAGCTACTAGGTGCTCAATGAGATTTTTTTTTTTCTTGAGACAAGGTCTCTAGCCTAGAATGGCCATGCACTCCCTACTACCTCGTAGTTCTAGGACTAAGACATGTGCAATCAAACCTCGATTTAGGGAAACCAAGGCTTTGAACACACTAGGCAAGGTCCCAAGCAACTAGGCTACATGTCAATTTTCTCAATGAGATTTTATTCAGTCAAAATAAACTGTCATTCCTTCCCTGAGAGGAATTTACGAAAGCAAGCACACTGGAGCTGTGCTCAGTCCTGCCACAGCTCTGGCTAAATTCTGTACTCCAGGGCTCTCTGTAAATGACTAGGGGAATATGAGCCTAGACACGAAGGGAGTCCACTTTGTGCCCATATGTGACCTTCAGTGTTTCTAAGACTTTTGCACCCCAACTTCTGACACAGTCACAAAAGACTTCCAGTAAAGGAGCAGGTAACTGCCCTTTGTAGGGTGCTGCAGCTTCAGGACATGAGGGATGGGTCGTGCAGACCATGTTGCTGATATTATTATACCCGAGGCTCTTGGCCTTTCCTTTACTGGCCCCTCCAGTCACTGTCCACAAGAATGTAGGTCTCCATCACTCAACTCTCTAGCCATAGGTCACATTCTGGTTACAAGGAATGTGAGACAGCAAAGTTATTTTCCAAGTGGGACGATAAACTTCGGTAAGCAAGTGCGTCTGAGAGAAAGGCAGGATGTGCAAGGTCATAGACAGAAAAAGAAAAGAAACAAGAGGCAAGGAGCTAGGCTCCTTCCTCCATCATCCCTGCAATTTCCGGGTACTATAGTCTGATTTAATGTTCAAGAGCAGGGGCCTTGCCCAAGCCACACAATGACTACGCAGCCAGATCCCTTTTCAACACAATGTGCTTTATAGTAATAGTTTCCATTTTAAAACCCCAGAAGGGTGGTGAGGAAGTGACATTTTAAAAAGTGTTTATCCTTCACATCCATTAAAACATTCAGGACGATTTCCACGTAAGGCTTGGAAGACCATCTACCAGGAGAGTTATCTGCCTTTCGTTGGCTTGGTATCAATTCTCCATCAATTCTCACAGCCTGACCCCAAGTCACAGGTGGCTTGTGTTAAGCACCTATTAATAATGAAAAGCTAAAAAAAAAAAAAAAATCCACGTCAAAAGAGCTAAAGACAACGCCAAAATAGCTAGGCCATTTCTAGCAAGTGGTGGTGATGATTTTGGATGTGAACAAGCTGCCCGGGGACCCAGAGAACCGGAACTGTGATATGATAACATCATGGGCAGAAGGCAGACGAGTGGAACCAGAGTTACTGGCGAGAGGCGCCTGGATCATAATCTTCCCGTTTCCACTCAATCCGTTTTTTTCCATCTTTATCATGGAAAAAGAAACTGAATGAAGCACAACAGTCCCTCACACTACCATATATACTCTCTAAAGCATGGTTATGCGTTGTCTGTGTGGCAAGACTTCTCGGGAACAATGAATAACTACCTTTCTGTTGTTCATGTTTAGGAAAGTTTTCAATAAAATAAGGACACTTCTGAAATGTCTTCCCCACAGGGGTGCTCACAGGGATTTTTTTTTCCTAAAAATAAACTTCTAAAAAGCTGACTTGTTTGAAAAATATTATTGAAAACCTTCCTCCACTTGAGCAGTAGCAAGGCAGCAAAGAACCCTATATATGGATCTGTTAAAGACCACAACAAACGTTCGGGGTCTGCAGCCTAGTAAGCAATCATGAAAGGTTTAATAGAAAAGATACCACACAGGGTCATCCTCATGGTATCTATGTATTCTAGTCTCCCATAAATACATATTGCAGACAAGTCACCTGGGAGCTTAAGTTCATGATCCCTATAGCTATAGAACTGAGAAGAATGATGGTATCTAGGGTGTTTCTTCTCTGTATGACAATGTAAGGGGGGACGGAGACATTTGCACAGGGGTACAGAATAGAAACCTTGGTGTAGAATGAAGTACGTAGATAGAGCAGGGAAATGACCCTGGAAATAACCAGTAGCCAGAATGCCACAGCTGAATCGCATCTACCCATTCAAACGTTCTGCACTTGCTGACTTGTCTGTCTTGTGTGCTAAAGATGGATCAGTCTAGGACAGTCCTCTTCTAGGTTCCATTGTTTGTCAGTCTATGTCTTTACTAACGTCATTTCCAAAGACAACATCAACATGAATTTGAGTTGAAAAATCCTGGGAGGCGTGGGCTAGTATACATGGAGTCTGTGTTTGCTTCAAGCTAAAGGGCACATATCTCCTGGTCTCATGTGGACAGACGATGCCCTAGGGCTGAGCCCAGCTTCTTTGATGTCCATGAATGCTTACATAAACATCAAGTAATATGATCGGGGAGAGTTTCGTCAAGAATTTCCATAGCAACCCTCACAAGACCTGACAGAGACACACAGGCCACTAGCAAACCCTAAACTGTGAAAGGAAGTGAGACACAGAAAAGAGGGAAGCGTAGGGACTCCTCCCAGAACGAAATGTGTCAGAACTATTCGAGAACACGTGGGTAAGACGTGTCTGGCTCACACCCTCTTCCTTTTGGGTTCCATCTGCCTTTTGTTTTCTGTCACTGTTCACTAGGGCTGATGAGGGAGGAAGCTCGTTTGATGTGAAAATCTAACGGAACTCTACTGTGTTGATATCGGGGCCCTCTGGGAGGTGGTTTTGCTGTCCTTGGGATTGGGACTAGCACATTATAAAAGTGCACATGAGACAGTTCTCTGGCCCTCTTCAGGTAAGGGCACCCCTGGAGGATATCAGTTTGCAATCTGGAAACCCTGATGGCACCCTGGTCATGTATCAGCCCCCCAAACAGTGAGAAATAAGCTTCTGCTGTGTATATGCAGAAGTCTCTGGCACTCTGCTGCGGCAGCTGAATTTAGGGGAAATTTAGGGGAAGCCCCACCTCCTCTAGGAACCAAATGAGCAGCAGCCTTGGACAGGGAGGTGTTGGTCAGAGGCACTGACTTGCCACGATGCACCTTCACAATGGGGGGGTCTCGCCGGAGGAAGGGAGGTAGCTGTTGCTCAGATAAGTGGGGGGACACAACATGAACCGTGAGAGCCCGGTGAGTCACAGATTAAAATTTAGCGCTACATTTCAGACATCCTTTACCACAGTTGATGCATCCTGTTCTGGGGGAGGTGCAACTTTATTTCCACCGTTGATTGTTACAAATTGAACTACGAAATGACAGAACCTAAGCTTCCAGAAATATCTTGAAGGCAATGAGCGCATGCAATTGCATTATAGCAGGCTGGGTCTCGGGATGGTGACAGTGAGGCGAGCCGCAAAGAATGTCTCGCTTACCTTCTCACTGGAATTTTACCACTCGTGTTGGTCAGAAACGCCAGTTTCATCCAGCTGGAAAACAAGAGGAACACTGCCTCAGAGAGTCCCACCAGCACCCGTTCCAGATCATTAAGCACTTTGAAGAAAGCCTTCTTCATACAGAACGTCTAATCTAAAACTCAGATGATAAGAGACAAATTGAGGGCCCTCAGATTCTATTGCACTCAGTAAAATATGAATTGAACTCAAGTTACACAATATTTTAATGCGTCTTGGTAACACTTACAACATATTTATCACAAACTATCTATTGTCTGAAATTCAAATTTAACCGAGAGTTCTATATTTGAAAATCTGACACCTAGGGGAATTAGAACTTGAATGTCTGTACTGAGCAAACCATGGTGCCTGTTGCTTGTGCTGGGTTTCCTCTTCAGTGAAACACCCGGGTGACAAGTAATGCCAGTGTCTAGCCTCGCTCTGAGAACCAATGGGGATTCACCACTCCCTGCTGCCAAAGGTAGGATGGTTAATGAGTGGGAGCCCTGCTTAGTCTTCAGCCCTCAGAGACTTCCTCAGAGTGGTGGGTAACTCTGCTTTCCCCAAGTTCTTGGGACATATGAGGAACGAGAACTTTCCCGTACATCTTGGAACCGAGACTGTTCTCAGCCAATGACGCCTATTCCTATTATTCCTTGGCGTTAACAGTCTGCAGAGCACCACACCTTTGCGGAAGTTTCTATCTTAGTTCCAGAAGCACAAGTTGCTATTTTGTTTGGGGTACGTTTTAGAGACAGAGTGAGGGAAGCAGAATGGGCAGGGAACTGGCTTACGCAAACTTGGGTTTCAATTAGTTTTTACATGACCTCATAGGCTACGCGCCACTAGCCTTGGTGGTGTAGGGTTTGGCTCTGTTACTCTGTTTCAGTTAGCCATCACAACAGGAGTTCAATCTCCCAGGCATGGGGACTTCCTCTGGAGACACATCCTCTGGAGAGGACGCACAGTGGGTAAGCAGCCTGTGGCTGCATGAACAGAAGCTCCATTCCCAAAGAGCTGGTGTCTGCACTGGCCACTCAAGTGTAAGTACGCTTTCCATTCACAGTAGGAAACAGTCTCTAGGTTCTCGCTAAGAAAATAAGCACAATGAGGGATGGGAGGCAGCTGCACAGCAAATGGGAAGACGAGCTTTCGAGAGGCTTTCTGCTTTCATTACGTGGTGATCTGGTTCTCCGGTAGAGGACTGTAAAGTTAAGGATTTGCTCAAAGTAGCAAAGCTGGGGTTTACAACACCTGCCAAACCTCTAGGAGACAGGAGCAGGAAGTGCCTAAAGGACTGAGGGCCCCCAGAGTAAGGCAACGAATCAGTGGGTCACTCTCTTGGTGCTAGGGCCTTGTTTTTCAGAAGGGGAAGACTGTCTCCACAAGGTCTACATATGCTTGCTGTGGTACCTCACCGCTACCTGCCACCCACAGCCCCTACAAAAGCAGGCAGTCACACACAATTATGGACCCCTGGTTATCTGGGATTTCTATCTGAGAAACTGTCACTTGACCCTGAGCAGGGATACAGCTCTATCAGTGTAGGAGACCACTTGGGAGTCCAGGAACAGTGAGCTGCAGTAAGATCTTCAGGCCTTGACTGAATCACTGACTGAAATTTTAGAAAGACATTTCAAAGAACCCTGAGATTCGTGATTGCATATTAAACAGGAAGTGGTATTGCTGGGGGAAGGACTTCCTGCTATACCTCAGCAGCAGATGCTTTTTCAAATGTTTCTCCTGGCTATAGCCTCAAATTGTCGCCTTGACTCAGTGGAGACCTGAGATACCCTAGTACCCAGCTGGGCATGCAGAGGCACCTAGCAGAAGATGGAGTTTAGGAGGCATAAACCCAATGCTTGTAACCCTTAGAGGACTGAGTGGCCAGTGGCTTTTGTGCATCAACCTTTTTTTTGTTGTTGTTTTTTTGATGCATGTTTTGTGAAGGGGAGTCATTACATGTGCCTGGCTAAGTGGTATAAATACAGGCGTGTGCGTCACCTTCCAAATTCAGGGGTTCAGAAGGAAAGGCAGGCTGGAATTGGCCCGATTGTAGGCAATGCAGTCTTTACCTAGTGATTAGAACACTTGGTAGACAGTTCCTAAGAACAAGAGGAATTGCAAACAAAACTCACTGTTTCTTGAGGCATGTCATCGGACTGACGTTGTTTGCCCTGAAGTTGTGAATGATTGATCTCAGGCCTTCTACCCATTGCTGAAAATAGAAGGAAAAAAAAAATCCCAGTGAGCAATCTTCTGCAGCAGGTACAGTGTTTTCACTAGACAGCCCACCTCCTCTGTGCAATCAAACCACATACTCTCCTTTCCTCCCCTTCTACCACACAGCATCTATATTTTACATGCTTGTATTTTATTCTTTAATATACAGCTTTCATTCTTCCTGTGGCATCTACAAGGCATTAAAGAAAGACTGGATTGCCTCAGAGAGATGCCACCACTGCTTGACTTGCTAAGCTTTCTACTTGCAGCCTGTTTAAATATAAGCTTTATTATTTTAGCTACTCAGCTCTTTCTAAGCAATCTGTACAGTACATGCTGATACATTTACCTCCTCCATCTTAGAGGGCAATGTGAGGAGGCCCTTCATTGTAGCTCTGTCTGATTTGCTCCGTCTGCGCTGCTTACATAGCTTACCTGTCTGCATTTTCCAGCAAAGCCTTAAAAAGTAAAATGATTTCTTGCCTGATATGAGGGTAGCCAGAGCAGGCAGGGATGTGCTCACACAATTTCTGTATAAGGACTTGGGCCTCAATGTAGCTCATACCATCGCTCCATGGGTTTACAAGGAAAAGTGAAGACAGATGGAAGATGTCAGGGAAGAACTTTGGGTCTGTAAAAGGGCATTTTACTAGAGAAGGCTAGCCCATGAACTAAAGCCAGCACTGCTCGTGGGTCCAACATCTGACAGTAATGAATGCCCCCAAAGAGTGACACCTTTGGCAGCATACTTTGTAACAAACTGATGCTTAGGAATGAACAGAGTTAAGGCTCCTCTCCAGGCCATCCCTTCCCTCCCTGGGTTTACATCTAGAGCCAACGGAAGAACAGTATTCTGGATGGGTGGTAACATAAATGTGAACTCTGCTGTCATTGATCGCATGATCCCTTAAACTCAAGTTGAACAGATCTAACCGGCTGTCACAGCTAGCATGCAAGTGTTCCAAAGCCATGACAAGGCTTCTAGGCACTGTGCTGAGAGTGCCCGGGAGAAACACAGTTGTCACCACAGAAGTTCCGGCTGCACAGCATTTCCCAAGAGCACCAGGCTTCATACCATGAGGATGGGAGATTTCATCTGTACAAGGCCTGAGCTGCTGACTGAGTTATATGAGTGTGGGGTTTGGGTTTTGGTATTTGCTGTCTTCTCATTTTAATTTTGGTAAAACATGCAGAACCTAAATGTTTCTCTCTCAGGGGCATTAGATAATTCAGCAAGTCCTGCACCCATCCCCACCATCTGTGCCTTCCCCTTGACCCCCATGAGCCACCATTCTGATTTTTGTGTCTATGCAAAAACACAGACTATGCTAGGCATCTCAAACAAGAATAATCACGTATGATTTGCCATGTTCTGACTGGCTTACTTCTCTAGGCATAATGCTCTCATTTAACATGTGAATGTCATGGGTCATCCACCCCTTCTTCCTTCGATGGACACCTTAGCTCCTTCTTCATTTTGGATACTGTAAAAAATGATATAAATTATTTTGCATAAGTGCCCATAGGATCACATGAGAATTCTTTTAACTTTAAAGGGAGATGCCACGCTGCTTTCTGTGACAGCTATGTCATTCTCCATTTCTACCAACAGTGCACGAGGGTGCTAACTCCTACATCCTCACTGGCACCTATTTCTTTTATAGGTGTCATCCTGTTGGCTGTGAAGCTAATGGCTCTTGCTGCCTCTGAATGTTCCAGTCATTGCTAACAGCTTTCTGCTGGGCGATAGAGGACCTCTGAGAGGCATCTTTCCTTCTGCAGCTGACAAAGACCTTTTTTTTTTTTCTTCTGAGAACTGCAAAGAGCATCAAAAGCTTCAACAAACAGGTAAGGTCTGGGTATGGAGAGAGAAAAAGAAATGAAATAGGAGCTTTAAAGAATTGCTTCGTTTCTCATCATCAGACCTCTGGTCCTCCGTCGGGCTAAATATGGACTTGGTTCCCGGGAGATTCTCGAATATCCTGTTGTTGGCCTAACAAACCACGGGCCCACACAGTTTCCCAGGAGCGGACAGAAAAAGCACAAATAATTTGGATGGCATTAACTGAGGGCATTTTCTCAACCTGAAGGTTTGAGTTATGTTCCAAAACACAGAACAAAGTCCCCAGTTTCCTAGGGCAAGTGGCCGGGGCAGAGAAAACAACACTGCTGTTTTTGATCGTGCTAATTTAGTTGTTTCTAGAAATAACCTCCAGACACTGGGTGGGGGTGGGGGACATTCAGGAGGCTTAAGCTGCCTTCATCCATTTTTTTTTTTTTGAAAACAGCATTGATGAAGACTCTTGTTTATTAGAATGGAAAGGTAATGACCTTTGGGGTCACCACAAGATCCATGCAGTAGCAAAAGCCACCAACACCCTCAGGGTCTGCTCAGTACTGGGCACGGAGGCTGTGCTGTATTCACTTTGCAAAGATGAAAGCAAGACCAAGGGCCTTGCCCAGAGTCACAGAGCAGGGGCAGAGCCTGGGCAGAGCAGGGGCAGTTACAGAGCTGTGGCAGGCCTTCCTGTTGGGGTATTTTCACTCAGTGGCTTGGTCCACCTCTCCCTGTCTAATGAAGGAGAGCTCTTCCATGCCTCCCCCTGCTCCCTGCCACTACTCAAGTCAAATACACAGTATACTGAGTCCTAGTGACTATAGGAAAAGCATTAATGCTAGGCAAACGTTCTTTTCAGACATTAAATAGAGAGATGCCAGCAGGTGTCAGTAGAGTCCCAGAGTTTTCGTGAAAGTTTTGCTAGGCGTGAGTTACAAGCATGTTATCGCTTTGATTATTGCCAGATTAACAGTTTTAAAATGGTGATTTAAGATATACCTGTTTGAATTGCTTAAAATAAGCTTGAATAATTTATCAGCATTACACCTTTAGAGGTACATCTTGGAGCCCTTGGGTAACAGCCAGTCCTGTTGGGGCCTTAGGCCTGCCACATTGGTCACTTTCTCGTACTCTTGTCCTGAGTAGACACAAGCAATCTGGGTGCAACAGAACCTGGCCATGGCACAAAGCAGCACCTGACCATGGAAAGAGGGGTGTGGTTTCTCTGCTGTCCTGGCGGACTGTAGCTTCACTAAACTCTCTCACCTTTTAAAATTTAGTTTTATTTATTTTATTTGTGCTGAATATTGAAGCCAACACCTTGAGTACACCAAACACACATTCTACCACCGATAACCCCTTTATTCTCTCACTCTTTAATCCTTTCTAAATTAAGACTTGTATTTTTCTCAGGAAAAATAGAATCCTTGAGGAGACATCTGAAGGATTTTTCTGGGCATGGAGGAGAGAGAGAGTAGTTCCTGGGGACACTGGGCCTATCTTCTAGCACTCCTTGACCTTATTTTCTTTTTTTTTTTTTTTTTTTTTTTTTTTTTTTTTTGGTTTTTCGAGACAGGGTTTCTCTGTGGTTTTGGAGCCTGTCCTGGAACTAGCTCTTGTAGACCAGGCTGGTCTCGAACTCACAGAGATCCGCCTGCCTCTGCCTCCCGAGTGCTGGGATTAAAGGCGTGCGCCACCACCGCCCGGCCAACTTGACCTTATTTTCTCCGCGTAGACAGTCAAACAGCACCCAACCTCCTGGCAAATGTCTGGGCCTTCCTCCTTATCTATCTCTTGCTGAACAACACTAGGGAACACTGTCCCAAACAAAAAGAGCCCATCCCCATTAAGAGAATGCAGAAACACGCAGTTACAACAAAACTAGACTAAAACCACACAAATTTAAACTGAGCAGAAATGTTTTTCCTTTAAAAAAAAAATAAGGCACAGGTAAGGGGTTCTCTGCAAGTTCAAGTTCAAGGTCAGATTGGTCTAAAAAGCCCAGGAAGCCAGCATTGTAGTTTAGCTTCCTCCTCCCTATTCCGTGTCCTAGGTTCCAGTCCAGCTTTTTCTAGAGCCCAAATCACCCCAAATCTTCTTATTCATCCAAGGAGATCACCAACATCATCCCAAATCTTCTTATTCATCCCAGGAGACCACCAACCAACACAATTTCACTGCATTCTTCAGATCCTGCTCTACACGTACTGGGAATCATCCCAAGGAAATATGCCCAACAGTTGCCATAGACCTGCTAGTTTAAGTACCCCAATAGCTAGGAGTGGAGGTACACACTGGCAAACCTAGGTGCCAGCCTGGGATATACTGTGAGAGCTTCTCTCCCTTCTTTCCTTCTTTCCTTCTTTCCTTCTTTCCTTCCTTCCTTCCCTCCCTCCCTCCCTCCCTCCTTCCCTCCCTCCCTCCCTCCTTCCCCCATGCCTCCATTCCCTCACCTCCTGCACCAGAATCAGGATAACTTATAAGTTATTAAAATGTAAGCAGTCATGTCTAACCTCCTGACTCAGTATGTAGGAATGGGGGGGTCATAGAATAGGGAACAGAAATCTGTTTCTAATTTTTAATTTTTGGGGATGGGGCATGTAAACTAGGGTGTCATAAACGGGAGGTGAGTGCTTTAACACTGACCCATAGCCTCAGACCAGAGAAATCTGTTTTTAACTAAGTTTTGCAGTTGATTCTTCTGTAAACTTCTGTGAAATAATATTCTTGTACATTATAAAGATTTATCACTCATATTGGCTTAATAAAACACTGATTGGTCCGTAGCCAGGCAGGAAATATAGGCAGGGGACCAGACTAGGTGGCTTTTAAGAAGAGGAAAGGCAGAGACATAGTAGTCAGTCAGAAACAGAGGGAGCAAGATGAGAATGCCTCTTGAGAAAGGTACCAAATCACACAGCTAAACATAGAAAAAAATTATAGGTTAATTTAAATTGCAAGAGCCAGTTAGTAATAATCCTGAGCAATAGGCCAAACAGTTTATAATTAACATAAGGCTCTGTTTATTTGTGACTGAATGGCTACAGGACCAGATGGGACAGAAACTTATGTCTACAGTAATGTCCAACTGAAGAAACAAGTTCTAAGCATATACATACAAACAAATGGAAGCACACAGACACACACATAGACAAATG